GACCACAGAATCCACGAGATATCAGACTTCATTGTATTAAGGACACCAATTTAACACAAATAGGAACATATTTGCCTGGTGCAATTTATCTGGAGTTGAAAAGGCTGTCTTAAGCAACCGAAGATATACGGTTATATGAAGAGTTTGGGAATCACAACCCTGCAACTTCTAAACGACATTGGCGATTTTTAAATGATTAATATTTTAGCTTCAATGTACACTCTACGTCAGTCTCATTTCACCAATTCTATTGCATGAAGATTACTCCTTTGACAATGCCCTCCACCAAAAAATACTTTGAATATATATTGTCAGTGATATAAGCATTGATATTCATGACCAGCATTTGATTTTGACTATGCTTATTCGAAAGTTATGGAAATTAATAAAATATGATCCTTCAATAAAATGCATTATATTGAACATGCAGTCGTACACATTTCCTTGTTTTTGTTTGTGTACAATGTAAGCGGTGTATATATATATATAACATTGTGTTGTGACGTGCAGCATGACGCAGTTGCGCGGGGATAATGTTAGGTATGTGGTAGTTGTGCTTGGATGCGTGTGAGTGATGATTATTCTCCGCTTTCAGAGCGTAATTTTCAGTGGATTTCCACAGCACGGTTAGAACCCACCGTGTGAAAATGCGCTACGTTGATTTGGAGATGTCTGAAGATGTATGTAGTGTTTGTTTCATGTATTCCTCACTTAATATGCTTAAATCATTATCATTACTCTTGTAATTTTGTTTATTTTCCAGGTAGACTAAGTTCGAATGGTAAGTAATGGAATTCGTTGGTCACATGATGTAATTTCAAAATCTGTCAATCCTATGATAACATGATTTACAATGTCTCTGAGTCAATTGAAAACTAACTGTTTTCTCCTTAGGCAGTTACTCAATCAACTTCAACTTTCGAAAAATAGCTTCGCAATTTGAAAGAATGGGTGTTGGTTTTTCAAGCCTGCTGTGACACTGCGGAGAGTATTCATGAAGTCCCGGCACAACTTGGGTCCACACAATGTCCTGTGAAGATTCTCCCAGTTCGCAGGAATATCGATTAACGGAAGACTGCCGATTGAAGCTTGCCTGAGTGACGACTAGGTTAGTCCTATGATGATTGTTGGTATCCGTAAATATGTCGGTTTAATATTAGCTGATTTAATGAGTCTGAAGTTTCCAAAGCATTGTCACACGATTCTTTTTGTCTTCCAGACTGACTACGGGATCATGAAGTCTCAGTACAACAAGGGTTCATGCAATGTCCTGCAATTATTCCGCGATTGTTACTGCCCTTAAGGAGGTCGGTTAATGAGCGTCAGGTCTGATATTTGCAAAGCATTGTCATACGACTATTTTCCTTACAGACTACGAGATCTAGGAGTTATTATTCTGAATATCTTGGTTTGTACCAAACATTTAATAAATACAGAAGTTTGTTTAATAATAGTCTTTTGAACTTAGTTTTATATTGATTTGTCGTTAAATGGCGTTCTCGTGCTAGTTGTTGCGTATTGAAATATATAGTCGGCTCACTACCTACGTAGTCTATGAAATTTCGGGAAATGGCTACCCTCCTGTTAGCTATAAAAAGACGTACATCATGAAAAGACAATTGTTATTCTAAATCTGGGCCTGTATCAATTGGTAAAGGGGCTTGCTACGTATAAGTTCGTATACTGGACTGCCGTTTCATGAACTGAGCCAATTATCAATACACATAGTCGAAAAATCAAGTGAACAAAATAGTTTCATGTTCGTATTCCCTTTTCTAATTATTCGCTAATGTGGACAAACAACTTGGTGAAGTATGTAACATTATCACAGCCGGGAAGTTACGTCTAACCAACTTATCGGTATTCTTGTGAGTTCATTGCAAGAATATGTTCCAAATGGAGTTCTTGAGCTAGTTTCGGAGGGCGGATGTCGTCGCTTTTACCTCTTAAAAGCGACTCGGTTGCTATTAAAATTGGCTAGCTGGTTGTCAACATTTGTAGTGGCCTGACATCCGATTCCCAACTGAATCAAATCGAACTAGACAGCCCATGCTACTTGTCACTAGTCGGTCGCACTGGTATATATGTAGTTAGATTCATTGTTTGGTAAATTAATTCTTAATAAAGTTGTTGAATTTAACGGTTTCCTGTCCCCTCAAGCAACCTGGATGTACTAGCTGTCGCGCTTATATCAGAAAATTGGTCATATGACGTTGCGTGAGACACCAGTGCCTTCCCTGTACACTGATGTTTAAGTCGGTTGGGTAGTTACTAGCTCGAAAATGTAGTTATTAAGGTTGGACGGCGAATATGTACCACTGATTTATGGTGGATGACAGTGAGATGCCTTCGTGTGACCAAGTAGTTCTATCGATGCTGCCTTCTCAAGAGATAAAGGGTACTAGGGAAGGTTAGCATACGACAACAGACTTGCATTACCGACCGTAATTTTCTCAATTACCAAGCAAAGCAGTAAGAAATCATGAAGCTGGTACATTGGCTAAGTTGTAGTTAACTTAAATCGGTGACTTGAGGGTGTCGTCTAAACGCCTTCCACACTTTCTTATGCCTGAAGTGGTTGGATAAGCATAGACACGATCGTTACATAATTTAGCTTCTTAGTATGAAAAATATCTCCGTAGGATTGACATCTAAAGACCCAACAATATTTTGTAGTTGGTATTACAGATAATCCAATTCATTGGCTTGAGACGTCTTCAGAAACAGTTCAGAATTGAGGTCACCGGCGGAAATTTTTCCTACTTCCTCCATAGAAGTAGGGAGAACCCACTTAACTGTAAGAAGTCTCCCGCTCTATTGTTATACGGACTGTACCTTATATGATTAATCATCATTCTACGTTTATCCTATTTTAAGACCATGTTCTCTTTTATTTCTTCGCAATGTTATCCCTATTTCGTAAGGTACATACTGTTTTTAGTGCTTGGTCCTATTAGACTTTGATGTATATAACGTATAACAAGAACATTATTTTGGTACGCTGCCGTCCCTGATTTCCGACATTTCGCCAAGTGATCTGTATGGGGAATTTAGGACCATGCTTTTGGTGTCCCGACTGCTTTAATGGTAATATACGAATTCGGTTTGAGGTTGTGGACTTAGTGTAAATGCATTATCATAGTTATTAGACATTATGATATTCACATAAATCCCCACAATTCATTGAAGTGATTGTAATTTTTACCCCAAAGCCGTAAGCGATTGTAGAGAAATATAAAGGAAAATGTATTGTTTGTTAATGTTTCCATAGATAACTGGATTTTTGAGGAACAGGACACGCGATCGTAAACTGGGGTTTGGAGATAGTTGACAGGAAAATATGAACCCAGGTTTTTCACTGTTTTGTATTCGTTAACAACACTTACCTGTGATCTTAAGGGTACTGGTCCGATTCTATCCACAAAAGCTCGAATCGTTCAGGGGGCATCACTGCCCTTAGAATTACATGTACACCTTGCTGGTGAGTACTGAAAAGTACAAAATCTGGAATCATATTTTCTCTCAATTACTTTCAACCACCACCTTACGTCTCAACATTGTGCACGTGATGTCGAGTAGATTAGACTAGTGGCCATGTTGCAACTTGACCGATAGAGTTCGGTTAGCTCTAAATGGGTTAGACAGTCATGACATCGGGCACTTGTGAGTGATCAGTCAATTTTTCAAGTTATATTTGTATCACCCTAAGAAAGACTTGATTAAAAAACTAACTGGACTGTCTTTTAAACATCTTCCCAAATTTATTCGACTAATTGTTGGTTGGATATATTGTTTGTTTTTTCATACGAATAGTTAACAGTTTTTAAAGTCATTTGTGCATTTTTACACGAATCATGTTCGAATTTTGTCAGCTTCTTTAAATAAATCAAAAGCTGGTTGCCAGCAGTCATTATTATGGTCAAGTTTAGTCGTGGATACCAGTTGCAATCAATCACTTCAGTGATGAACGTCAGTAATAAACATTTCCAAGTTCATAAGGACTTGTATTTCCACATGGATGATATTCAGTTTTATTTGATCAATCTGTGCTGGCATGCATATCCATCCTATGTACAAACCTTTACATTGCCTATAGTTAAAATCCTAATTATATTTTTGGGAGTGTAATTAGCAATGGGATTCGAGATGTGTCTTAATCTTTGAGTTTGTACTTGAATTCCATATCTCTAGACTATGATTCGAACTCAGTACTTATCTCTCCGAATTACGACACACAATCCACTAAGCTACTGAGCTTAAAGATGAAATGATGTATTGCTATCATTTGAACAAAATGTAGTTATTTTAAACTACTAATATAATAGATAGTCATATGTTGTTGGAGCTTCGTGTTAATTGAAACGACTTTAATGGATTTATCTATCAGTAATTATAAAATACAATGTTATCTGAAGTATTTTGATAGTTTGATTAATTCGTCAATAGAAAAAAAAACAAGATTCATTGCATTTGTTGGCAAACTTCTAGAAAATTACGTCTCACTTTACAGGCACTTACAGATTCCTTTCCTTTATCTCGGAAGAAATCTATTCAATAATCTCTGAAAGTGACCGGCAAGATTAAGATAGACCTACAAGATTTTGAAAAGTTATAATATGTAAGTTAGTCAAATTTCGTGTAATTAGTCCATCCTCCTTCTTAACCCTTGAGACACCACCGTAGTTATTCATACCTCCCCAGAATCAAACGGCTTGATGTGCATTTTGTTAGTAATAAATTTATACTGTTGACATATTCCAATTTATCTATATTTTGATAAACAAGCCAAATAGTATTGAAAAATACCCGGACTGCACCACTTATAGTCATGGTCTGGAATATATCTTATCTTTGTCTGGGACAAAAGAACAGTTATATAAAAGTGCTAATAATTTGCATACCTAATTATTTGGTTAGCCGATCTCAGCTCTTATCTGTTATTTATCAGTTCCCTCTCTTTCTCTCTCTCCCTTGTATGGTAGGTGCGGGGCTCAATTTACAGGAAACATGTGTGTATCTGTATTTGAGTAGGACAACAGTAGAATATGACAAGAAATATTGTTTATGTATAAATATACGTTTTAAGTAATCTTTTTTAAATGTATACTATCATCATTATTGTCAGTAGTTTTAATTAATTCATCTAAATATTTCAAATGATCTAAAATAAAAGATTCTATACAAAGTCTAAGAAAATGTTTACAACATAATTCCTCAACATTTAACAATGGTTCCGTAATTAAATGTTTCATGGGCATATCCATTATTGTTTCATTCATTACTGGTACACTAAAATAGATTGATATAAAAATCATATAATGAAACGTATTTAATTTACATATATATATATAACATGTATGAAGGGTTGCACAGTGGTTAGCAGTGGAATAGACGACTGGCGTTTATTGATCTTAGTGACCAGTTAGTTGGATATAAAAGTATTCGTAGTAATACCCACATGTAGAATTGCACCCAATTTCTTTCGCTTCAAACGCCCAACTGAATATCATCCAATGAGCGATTGAGTTCAAATATTTACGAGCTTGTGAAACAGGTATGAATTTTTTTTAGGATTTCTAGTCTCCCAATATTGATGGTAAAGATTACAATTAACTAGTCCATTTATGGCATATGCGTGTTAGCTCTATTTTGGCATCTAGTCAGAAGCTTTTAGTAATGTGGGAGATTGAAACGTATTCAGTTGATGAGTTCCAAATAGGGCTAAACGCTCACTCTGGATTCCACGGATAGCTAGTATCCGATAACACTAAAATCTTGAAACTAAATTACAATTAGAAGCAATTCATTTAGGTTGTACATATACCAATAGAGATTGACCAGCTGGAGTCCTTACCATCAACAACGGGAAAGTACAAACCCTTACAAATAAAATACATTTCTTAATTTGAGGTTAAATGTGATTTTTATAAATTACTAGACTATTCATAAGTTGCAGTGATGCACTCCCATGATATAGCGTTAATTACATTAATGTCAAGCGGTTGAACGTAATTTCTGAGAAGTACTACTTTTCCTAGGTTACCAGATAATTGGTAATTGTAAGGCCTATATATCTAAAATATTGAGGGAACATACAAACCAAGTGAAACGAGATAGATCATAAGATCTATCACATAGTCGATGAAATACAATAATTGGTAAAATGTTTTGTGTGAGGGAATTATCCACTAAGCGAAGGTCATAGTCTTGGTCAGCATAGCCACTGAGTTATTATTATTATTATTTGGTTTTTGACAAGAAAAGCTTTCTACTCAATCCCCTGTTTTGATCAAATCCAATCGACAAAGTTTAAATGTTTGAATTTCGATCCCTCGAATAAGATTCAGTCGATAAGATAGAATCTTCCTTATTTTAACTTGTAATTCATAAAGATTTCATTACAACTGGCCTCATAAAGTAATTTCTGTCATTTTAAGTCGTACCTGATAACGTCTTAAGCCACTGACCCACTATGATTTTCAAGAACTCAACCAACAGATCGTGGAGGACTGATAGTTATATCCTATGATCACATACCCCTAACATAAACTAACCTCTCTGATTTTTCCACCAAGTTCCCACATTAGAAAATAGTGTGTCGTTGAAGCCTCTAAGATTAAATTCGTAAGATTTATTCAATCCAATGAAGAAAGTGTTTGAAAAGTGTAAAAACGGTTGGATTACTACTATTGTGCTGGGAAGTACATTAAAGGACCATGGTATTACTTAGATATCCATTGAAAATTAGGGAACTTTGGACAGTTTTTTCATCTCAGTATGTGATTCTTAAGCAGTAAGACAAGTATCACCGTCATCAATAGATAACTCACACAATATAACGGAGTGACTTAGGAAGCAAATGTGAACCAATGTGCTATGAGTCAATGACCTAAAAATTAAGCGCTCTTCGTGAACCCTGAAATTTCTTGGTTCCACCTATGGTAAGATTACGAGAAAGCAACTGTTATGGAGGCCAGTCTTATATTAAGACAAAACATTCGTCCAGTACTCTACAAATTTCTATATTGGTCTAAATATAGTCAATTTATGACGCAAATTTCCTTCATAACGTATTAAACTAGCTGTTAGATAATGAGGTGATGGGGTTCTTATTGTTCACTTTTTATTGATTTAGTAAAAATGTATGTATTGATTTTACTGTTTAAGATGACAATTAGAGACATATATATACTAAATTATCCAATTTCCAAGTGTAGATACTATTCACTGAAATATATGCGAAGATAACTTTCCAAATTTATTTTATCTTTATAAACTTCACTGATAATATTTGATTCAAAACAATGTAAACTATAAAATCCTATTGAAGAACCATTTTCTTATTACTTTAGAATTTCAAAATGAATATATCTGAATATTTTTGGCGTAGAATAACATTAATAACTTCAACAAAGTAGCTTTTGTTGAATCCATCGACTGGTTTATTAATGTTGTTTCCGTAAAATAGAAAGCTCTAGACAATCTACTGCTTAAAGTAATGATTAACTGATCGTTTTCTGTTTCTGGATACATTGAATAAAAGTGACATTGTTGTGGAGCTTTCATTATCGTTAATGACAACATCATTACCTCTTTAATTCATGTGAAGGGGATATTTTTTTAGTTATTCCACAAGCATCAAATCGACTTATCTTGATGGTTTTATTTGTACATGTTTGTCTTTGTAGGTTTTATTTTATACCGATTGAGAATACGTTGATGTTCTAGATCGATAAAATACCAAGACATCGGGAATTTCTGGAAGCGTGTCATCCAAGTAATCAACAATAAATAGGCGAATGAACGTAGGTCCTATCTAACAATCCATATAGATAGGGCCAATCAACCACTAAGTCAGAAGTCAAATAGACAAGATAGTCCATAGAAATTAATGGGCAAATCAGAATAATGGAAACTACAAAGAAAATCAATCATAAATAAAGTCATCAGGATGGACTTTTTTAACTCTTAAAACATAACTAAAAAGCTCACTTCTACATGAAGTAAACGCTGATGATGTTATCCAGGACAACAATGAAATCTCTGCAATCAGTCCACTCAACTCAGTAAAATAAATAACACTGAGACCATTTACCTAAGCTGTTAATTGTCTCTATCGTTTCATTACTTCATCTACTAAGGAGGCCGAAATTTAAATAAAACATGTGTGTGTACTGCTTTTCCGATGGCTATCAAGCTGTAATTAGTCAGTGACGATGATTATTATCAACAGATGGTAATCAATTAATGTAGTGGAAGTCATTCAATCAAATTACATTGATATAATACAGTGGATATCAACAAGACAGTAAAACTGGTTATGATCATCTTTCAAACAATATTTCAAGAAAAAAAAAACTATCAATGATTTAACTTACTTAGGTATCATTTGAATTATACTTTGAAATAAATGACCATGATTTATTAATAGTCGATTTTTGATTCGATTTAATAAACGTGTTATTCGTAAACCACGAATAAATTTATTCATTAAACCGTTTTCAAATTGTTTACTGATATCTTCATTGGGCAAATAATCACCTAAATATTTTTATAAGTAAAGGAATAGACTTTATTTAAGAGGTCTTTTTAAGAAGTTTGTTTAACTTGTCAATAATTTTCTGTTACCAACTGGTATAATTAAATTGGGGGGAAAATAGCAGCAGATCAATCAAGGAGTGGTATCACCTTACAAAGTTGCTGATTATTTAGACTTAATCATGTGAATAAATGACAAAAAGGAAAGTCAAAGAACACACTGAGTCTGGAATTGAAAGCAGATATGAAAATAATGAATAGTGACCGAAGAGAAATGAAAACGACTGTCCAGGACAGAGTTGGATGGAGAACGCTGTTGGGAGACCTATGCTCCTCCACGAAGGCTAATAGACGTAAGTAATTAATGCCATTAGGTAGAGGTTGTCTGGTTAGAGTCAGCGCGATTTCCGTAACTAATGATTAGTAATGTTGTATGACATGGCTTAGAATAGGTGATAATGACGCGGATGAATTTATTCTATTTCTTCCATTAGATCATGAGTTTAAAAATGACCCTATACCGTTTATCAAAACATCTAATCTTTCCTTCTAAATCATACTGTCACTTATGTTTAATCTTTTTCCACTATTGTTATTACTTCTGGTTTTACTACCCTGGGGTTTATCTTGATTCTTTCATCGCACCGTACTGATATAGTGGGATAACTTGAACTGACGCATAAATTTGTCAAGTTCTACTTATGACTAACAGACTGATCTTGATTGGCTAGGTAACTATGAAATACCTAATATAGGTCGGATTTTTCACATTTCTATGAAACTCAGTAGTACACGAGCTGACTGCATTTCAAAATGTAAACCTTCAGGTGGAAGTTTAGTAGCTTGTATTGAAACATAAACGTTCCTAATTATTAATCACCATATGGGTTGCAGGTAGGGATCGGTACTGAAGAATCATATATCAAGACTGAACAGTTATCTATTGCATTTTGGTTTTTAATTGTATTCTAACTGAAAAATACAAAAATCGAAGATGATTTGACAGTTTGTCTTTCTAACTTTCTGGAATATCCCTTACTTACTTACTTACTTACGCCTGTTACCCCCAATGGAGCATAGGCCGCTGACCAGCATTCTCCAACCCACTCTGTCCTGGGCATTCTTTTCTAGTTCCATCCAATTCTTGTTCATTTTTCTCATGTCTATCTCCATTTCTCGGCGTAATGTGTTCTTTGGTATTCCTCTACTCCTTTCGCCTTGAAGGTTCCAGGTAAGAGCTTGCCTTGTGACGCAGTTGGGTGCTTTCCTCAATGTGTGTCCTAACCACTTCTAGCGCTTCTTCCTGATTTCTTCCTCCACTGGGATCTGGTTTGTTCTCTCCCACAGTAGGTTGTTACTAATAGTGTCCGGCCAATGGATCTGAAGTATTTTGCGTAGACAATTGTTAATAAACACCTGTATTTTCTGGATGATGGCTTTTGTAGTTCTCCAGGTTTCTGCCCCATACAGTAGAACTGTCTTGACATTTGTATTGAAAATCCTGACCTTGGTGTTGGTTGACAGTTGCTTTGAGTTCCAGATGTTCCTCAGTTGTAAATATGCTGCTCTTGATTTGCCGATCCGCGCCTTCACATCTGCATCAGATCCACCCTGTTTATCAATGATGCTGCCCAGATATGTAAAGGTTTTTACATCTTCCAAATCGTCTCCGTCAATTGTGATTGGATTGGTGCATTCTGTGTTGTATCGGAGAATCCTGCTTTTCCCTTTGTGTATATTGAGACCTATTGCTGCTGAGGCTGCTGCCACACTGTTCGTCTTCTCCTGAATCTGTTGTTGCGTTTGGGATAGAAGGGCCAGATCGTCTGCGAAGTCTAGATCATACAACTGCATCCTAGATGTCCATTGTATCCCGCGCTTTCCTTCAGATGTTGACGTCTTCATGATCCAGTCGATCACCAGGAGAAAGAGGAAGGTTGAGAGTAAGCAACCTTGCCTAACACCGGTCTTCACTTTGAACGAGTTTGTCAGCTGTCCTCCATGTACGATTTTGCAGTGTAATCCATCATAGGAATTCTGTATGATATTGACTATCTTCTGAGGCACGCCGTAGTGTCGGAGAAGCTTCCATTGTGTTGTTCTGTCCACGCTATCAAATGCTTGTTTATAGTCAATGAAGTTGATGTAGAGTGATGAATTCCATTCAATTGATTGTTCCACAATGATCCGTAGAGTTGCAATTTGGTCTGTACACGATCTATCCTTACGGAATCCTGACTGTTGGTCTCGAAGTTGGGCGTCAACACAGTCCTTCATCTTGTTTAACAATATCCTGTTGAAGACTATTCCCGGTATTGAGAGAAGAGTGATGCCCCTGTAGTTATCACAGTTGTTGAGATCGCCTTCTTCGGTATTTTGATCAGAAGTCCTTCTTTCCAGTTTGTTGGTACTTGTTCCCCATCCCAAATCTTATTGAAGAGAATGTGGAGTATCCTTGCAATTGCCGCTACGTCTGCTTTTAGTGCCTCTGCTGGGATGTTGTCCGGTCCTGCTGCTTTGCCACTCTTGATTTGTCTGATGGCCATGCTGACTTCTTCAATTGTTTGTGGGCCAACATTGATTGGGAGGTCTGTGGGTGCTGCTCCGATGTTGGGTAGGTTCAGTGGGGCTGGTCGATTCAAGAGTTCTTTGAAGTGTTCTACCCACCTGTTTTGTTGCTCTTCAATGTTGGCGATTACCTCGCCTTCATTGCTTTTCACTGGTCGTTCTGGTTTGCGGCGATTTCCAGAGAGTTTCTTTGTCGTGTCATACAATTGTCTCATGTTTCATTCTCTTGCAGCCTTTTCCGCCGTCGTTGCTAAATCTTCCACATATTTACGTTTGTCGGTTCTGATGCTCCTCTTCACTTGTTTGTTTATTTCCGTGTATTCAGCTTGTGCCTTGGCTTTTTCTGCTCTTGTTCGGCTGGTATTGATCGCTGTCTTCTTGTACCTCCTTTATTGAACCTTATCCAGTGTACCAACAGTGATCCATTCCTTGTGGTGGTGCTTCTTGTGACCCAGGACCTCACGACATGTTGAAGTGATTGCCTCTTTGATCCCCTAACAGTTGCTCTCCACAGTAGTTCCTTCTCCATTGAGTAGATCATGAAAGGCCTGGAACTTGTTGCTGAGGACTATCTTGAATTTGTTGAGTTTGTCAGTATCCCGAAGAAAGGCTGTATTGAACTTTTGTGATACTGTCTGCCCTGTTGTCCAGTGCTTCTTGAGTTTCAATTTCATCTTGGCGACCAGTAAGTGATGATCTGATGCTATATCAGCTTCTCTCTTGGTTCTCACGTCCTCTATAGTCCTCCTGAACGTTTTGTTGATGCAAATATAGTCGATTTGGTTTTGTGTAGTGTGATCCGGCGAAGTCCATGTGGTTTTGTGTATGCGTTTATGTGGGAATATGGTGCCGCCTATGACCAGCTTATTGAAGGCACATAGATTTGCAAATCTCTCACCATTTTCGTTCCTTTCTCCCAGTCCGTGTCGTCCCATGATATCTTCATATCCAGTGTTGTCCGTTCCAACCTTGGCGTTGAAATCTCCCATCAGAATGGTCAGGTCCTTTGTTGGGCACTTCTCGACCATTGACTGCAGCCTATTGTAGAATTGATCTTTAGCGTCTTCATTGTAGTCGTTGGTAGGCGCATAGCATTGGATGATGTTCATTGAAATGCCCTCTTTCTTTGTTTTAAACGAGGCTTTGATGATCCTTGGTCCATGAGATTCCCATCCTATAAGTGCATTTTGCGCTTGTTTGGACAGCATCAATGCAACTCCTTGTGCATGTGGTGCATTTTCTTCTTCATGGCCGGAGTATAACAGGAGCTCTCCTGTAGTTAGTCGTTGTTGTCCAACTTGTGTCCAATGTGTTTCACTGATCCCAAGTACCTCTAGGTTGTATCTTCTCATTTCGGTAGCGATTTAGAAGGCTCTCCCGGCGTCCCACATTGTACGAACATTCCATGTACCTAAATAAATGGTCGCTCTGGTTGTCAAAAGGAGCATCGACCTCGTAACTTCCGAAGGAATTCGGCTTTCATCATGAGGCGTCATAATTCTTCTAAATGAAGACCTTCTGACTCCCAGGGCAGAGTTTAAAAGGTTTGAATAATTTTTTCTGGTTAGCGTTTTTTTAGCGAGTTAGTTTTCTACGGGATGGGGACGCTAACCCCATGCCCAACCCTCCTCCTTTATCCGGGCTTGGGACCGGCAGTAGCCCCCGGAGGGACTCCAGGCGGAGTTCTGGAATATCCCAGCAAATAATAAACATAAACTTTTCCAGTATAAAAACAATAAAAGAGAAATCAGAGACTCAATGAGTACATTTCAGGTAACTTATGAAAATCAGTAAATTTTTCTTTCATTTCAAATTGCTTTAACAGAAGAGAGATGGTCAACTTTCATACTTTTCTTTTTACTATCGATACATTAAGTCTGAAATAGTAAATAAGTAGGGATTGATAATTTGGTTATATGCAAATATGGTGATGTTTATTTAGATTACTTTTGTAGATATTTTGTGTAATTTGACCAATTTTGAATTATTTGATCAGTGATATATAGATTTGCGCTACTGAGGTTTCCCCAAACTAAGAAGAAAGCAGTTAGTACTTAATGGTTTCCAGTAATGATGAATGAATTTCCATGACTCATTTTAATACTTAATTGAGTATTAATAATAATTCAAAGAATGTTTTATGCAAAATATAACGTTGATGACATTTATTCAACTGTAAAAATTCATGATTACGGACTAGCTTTAAGTGAAGTTTTAAAACGGATAGTAGAAAACTCTAACTTCCAAAGCTTCTAATTATGTAGTCACCATAAAAATCCATTTGGTGAGGCTATAATCTATGGACGACCTTTGAGCGACTCTAAGGTGACCTTGAAAGTGTCCACCTTATAACCAGGACGAAATGAGGGTTATAAACCTGTGTGAAGAATTAGAATTATGATTTACAGTGAATGATTAAGGTTAGGAATTAGACTTAGGGTTTTCATCACGAACTGACATTAGCTATAATGCCAAAACTCAATCTCAATGGATGAGTGAATTTCGTGCCAAAATTTGAAACCTATTATCTTATATGTGATTGGTTTGTCTATAAATTATAGTCTAGCCATCTTTTTTTCAGCTCACTATAGGGAAATGTAATCCTGCACTGTTAAAGAATTTGACAAACAACGGTAAAAACTGTTGTCTAGTAGTTCTCTAGCATAAATAATTTCGTGTTACAGTTTTCACTGGTTAATACTTTCCCTTACACGAATGTTATGTATTCAGTGAAATATTCAGTTTAAAAAAAATATTCTTCTTTTTTAACAAGAATTAAATAAAATAAACTAATGAACAAATAAGTAAAGACGGATAGTGACTAGCAGTGGAATCCAGGACGCGCGTTTCGTCCTATTTGGGACTCATCAGCTGGACGTACCTGCATCCTAGAGTTGATGTTCAATCTTTGCTTTAAAAACCTTATAACTTAAGGCTGTAATCAAGGCAATCCGCACATGATACACATATACCAACATGAAACTGATCAATTGTAATTCTAAATAACAATAGGAAGATACAAGTAAAGCAACACCAGGTGAATATAAACTTCACCCCATTGCACAAGCAGGTGGCTATCAGGGCTCAGTAGTTAACGAGTAGATAACGCGTCGGCATTTGAAGCAAACGGTACTGAGTTTCGAGTCTCGAAGTGAACATCAACTCTGCGATGCAGGTACATCCAGTTGACGAGTCCCAGTCCCAAGTAGGACGAAACGTGCGTCCTGGATTCCACTACTAGCCACTATTCATCTTTGCTTAAAATACTTGTGAAGTAAGACAATATCAAGGCAATACACACATATACCAACAAGAGAGACTGATCAATTACACTTCTACAAGTAGAAACAACACCAAATGAATAAATAATACCTTCTAATTTAATTTCAATTTTCATTAAATTCATTGAATTCAAACAATTCTTTATTATTGTTTGTATTAATTCATCATGTCTATATACAATCATTCTTTTATTATTAAAACATTGTATATTATAATAATATAATAAATCTTGTTTATCTAATGTATTCGAATTGAATTGATCTAATTTATTTGTATACATTATTCTAATGGATAATTCATTTGCTAACATATTCATACATGTATAATAATTCATTAATGTCATTTGATTTTGTATCATATTTTCAAATTGTTTAATATATTTCATTAATTGTTGTTTAATTAATAAAGATTCATTTAATTTCTTATTTAATAATGATGGTAGAATTTCATTCAATGTACAATAATTCCAATGAATAATTGGTAAGAAACATATTTGTTTCGGTATAAATTGATAATTAGTAGTATTAGTAGTAGTAGTAGTACTAGCTATCTTACTCAAACATTCATTATTGTTTATAGAAGATGATAGTTTTAAATTATGTAAATTGTTAAATTTATCATCAACATCTAATAGAATATTCATTTCATGTTTACCTACTTTGATGTTTGCCTTGAAGAAGAAGAAAAAGAAAAAAATATATTTAGAACATTATTTATTTATTTATTTAAACACATAAACATTGGTACAAGGAGGCACCAAGTAGATATGCGCCACATAAATCACTCGATTTGTGTGAGGGCTGTGATACTGTTCGGGTGTCCAGACCGAAGCAGGTGGTTTTCTTAGGGGGCCACACCCCGAGCCTTTGACCTGGAGGTCTGAACCACAAGGCAGTGGAGCATCGTAAGGAGATGCAGTCCTATGGTAGCCGGTGACCAACGATTGGTTCATACGCCATTTGTTCCCTCAGGATAATGGAGCCCATGTGCACCATCGGTTTGAGATCCGGTCCTCTCATTTTCGTAAACAACACCCCTGTCACGAGAAGGCAGTGAGTAGGACTTCCCTGGCAGAGGCTATATACGTGTGGCCATGTGAGAGCATTTCAAGATTGAGGGCGGGCCCACCTCACTCTCGGTCATACCATGGCATTTGGGGGCATTTAGAACAACACAAATAAGCGAACGCTTCTACCTAATGTGCCATCACTTAGTTTGCTTAGTGTGACGTCAAGGTAGTTCAGGTTTTTGTTATACTCAGTTTCACCAGTGAAAATGATCGCTGGGTGAACATTGTTGAATTGTTCTAGGAGTTTATTCTTACTGGTGTTTTGATCTACGATAATGAAAGTGTCATCAATGTAGCGGCAATATAAATTATTATTATTTATTTATTTTATTCTATTTTTGTTATCATTAGCCTTATTTTTACATCTAGTATTTGTTTGTAATTTCCCACCTCTTGCCAATTGTGTTCTTCACTATCTAATTATTTACAAACTTCTTATTACGTAATGATTTTAATGTTTTGCGATGACTATTCCAAGTCTATTTACCCACGTTTGATCTTCTATTTCCAACGTTTAATTATTAATGATAAGACTTTTGTTATCGTATTTTATTATTCTTACTACTATCAGTTCACCTGTCTTCATACTGTCAACTTGTATTTGTACTTATTATTGTTGTGGATGCGGAGGAATAGACCAATAATTATCATGTTAAGTCCAATGGTGTCCTTGGACTTTAAATGGATATTTCCTATTGGTCGATATCTGTTCACTTGTTGAATATTGTACAAAATGTTGTTTTCTATTTTATGGTACGATGTGGTATGCTTGATTGGTATATAAACAAAGTATGTTTGAAATATAATTATTCATATCTCCGAGACTGTGGCTTGTGTTCTTGACTCAACTGGCTAAGACAGACAGCGAAGCAGGGCCATTCAGGGCATTAGGTCGTCCACTACGTGTAACCGTGTCACCGAATCGATCGATATAAACGCTGCGTATCAAAACCTGCAGTCTCACCCGTTACAACAATTGGCAACCTAAAGTCATAACAATTATGTGTAGAGACTTATTCTATTTCATTGTGATTATTGACCTAAATTGCTTTGATTGGTTTACATTTTCGTATAAATATTCATGTATATTAGAACAAAGCCTGATGACGATCTAATTGAAAACAATTGTTCGCTTATATGTGTTGTTCTAATTTTCACAATGGGAATCTTTAATATTCCAAAAATATATTTTACTGAAGGAGTTTAAGATAAAAAGTAACGACATTACACAAAGAAGAACTTCCTTTACAACACCGGACATGTTCATAGCAGACGGTTAAGTGTCATTTCATTAGATTGAACAGAAATTCTTAGTGATGATCTCATTTTTTAAAAAAATTCACCTACTAAAATAAACAGGGTTAAAGTCGTTGGAATTAATGGAAATTAAAGATGTATTGAACATTGAAAACAACGTTTGTTAGTGACTAATAGCGGAGAAAATATGAAATAATGGACAATCATTACGTCTTTTTTTTAAAAACTCCGGGTGATGATGATGGAATCTACGAAACACAATATGAACTGCCCAACAAACACTGATTTGTTTTAAAACTAATGCTTCGACTTTTTTTCTCTTACACATTAACGCCTTATACAATTAATCATCGAAAATTAATTATAATCAGAAAGGGATTTTGTGGATATTATAGTAGTCTAATAGTTCGATTCATGAGTTAATTAAAGCTAGACCACCATAAAAAACCTGGAAGCAATGGACGACTGTTTCGTCCCACTAGGAGACTCCTCAGCTATGCGCACTTAGGATTAATTAATTCCCACAGTATTCATTGTTGTATTAGATGGAACCATCAACATGGACATCTTTGTTATTCTATAAGTGTTTATTAAATCAGTTCATTATTTTAAAATGGGGTTTGTATGTTATTTAGTTATCTTTATAGGATTCGTTATTTTTATTTAGCTTGTGTTCAATATAGTCAATCGGCAACTAATAGACAATTCAACATACATTCAATCAACCATTTCATATGGTAGTTCAGATTAACCAAATGATCAACGATCAATCCAAATAAATAGTTGACTTGAAAGTTTACAACAAAAAAAACACAACCTCCAATCATGATATGAAGTTGAAATGCTACTTACACTGTGAAAAGTATAAATATGTCGTGAAATAATATTAGCTAATAACGAAAATAAGTTAATGATTTAAGAAAAGACAATTTCAAAGTAAAATACCATCCCGCACATGGGGCTCGAATCTAAAATCTTCAGTCTCGCACGCCAACACTTTACCTCTAGACCACTTAGCCAATCGGCATCCAAAGATGTTAATGTCTAACTTCAACCAATCCGCTATGTTGCGTGACCATCTTTTATTGTCTTCGATGAGTAACCGCTTCACTCCCAACATGGTTGAACCCTTCTGGTCACAGCTTCTTACTAGAACCCCAGAAATTCCCTCTCGAAGTTTGTCACTAGTGAACACATGATAATTATCTACATAGGGTTGCTGAGTTCCATTGAGATCATGAACCGATCAATGTTAGTCCGTGTATGCGCACTGTTGAAGAGTCCCATACTAAAACGAGACGGCCGTTTAGTCGTTCTCAGTTGTCGACGGTGGTGTAACTTAGATCGATTCTTCATCTCAATAGAATTTAACGATCTTCACAACCCCTTACTGAAGACACACATATATGCAAAAAAACAAACGAAGAGGGAAACAGTAATAAACTTAACAGTGATGAAACGAACTAAAACATCCATGTAAGTGTATCAACACAGTATATATATGTAAATTGCTTGATCCAACCTACGAGCTTTTGAAATGATTGAGTAAATGTAAACTGTATAATTATTTGTTAGGATTTTGTATTTTCCAGTTGTTGATGTCAAGAATTAAAATTGATCAGTCTATATTGGTATATGACCATTTTAAGCAGGTTAACTCAATATTCCTATTAATTATGTTTTAATTAAACGAGAAAGGACAAATCCTTACATATAAAGTCCATAGCCTTTAAATAAGTTAGTAATCGTATGTACTCATTAACTTAGTAAGTATCTTGGCGTTTAAAGTAAAAAGTACTGGGTTCGAGTCCATGCGTGAACTTTAACATAGATGTGCCAGGTACACTCAACTAACAAGTACCGAGTAAGAAGAAATACTCTTTCTGGATTCAATCGCTAGCCACTATTCAAATTTATTACAAACGATATCACATTATTCAGTTATATTGTACAAAAATAAAAAGACAGAGTCATACCATGCAATATCGACAACCTTGAGAGGTCAATAAAAATTAGGCTATACGATGCGCAAATTTGAAACGCTGCTCATGACTTTCACTACATTTCATCTTTCTTAATGATTGGATGATGATTTCCTTGTGAAATGAACTGCCAGTGCATGTTTAGGCTAGGATTTTCAAGGTTAGAAGAATTAGTGTTGAAAGCCACTGGTATGAAGTATTGGGGTTAGTAGTCTGAGTCGAAGAGGTGTAGGTTAAGGAGGTAGGGATTAGGAGTTTTAGGTTTAGAAATTGGGTTTCAAAAGATGTGGAGATAATAATTAGGTCCTATCCTGACTACAGAACTATAATATCCAACCTGAATAATCTGTATTTAGCAGTAATAAGTTGATTAGTGATTTTACAACTCCCAATCCTCATTATTTCTATAGTTTTTAAATTATCGAACTCGTAAATAAAAGGTGCTTTTTACTGGCCATTCTTGATTGGTTAACCTCAAGACCATCCATAAATTATAAGTGAGAAAGAAACACCTAACCTATAAACTTGACCAAATTAGATAACTATATAAAGGAATGACATCTAATTCATAAGTATCTAAATATATCAAAACTTGTTGACCGACTTTTAGATAAGTCCAAGATCTTATCATCTTGTATAGGATTATTTGTTCCCTTTGTTAAGAAGTCATAAAAATAAAATAAATGTTTAGTAAACCATAATTTATAACAGCTTTACAACAAATGCTAATTAGTAATGAAAACAATCCATAATGTACATGGATATCAACTTAATTTTTTTAAAATTATAAACCTACTATTGACTTTGAATTACAAGCTTTCTTCTGATCCGATCCAGTAGTGCATGACAAATATTTATTAGTCGAATCAACATAAAACATTGAACCTTGGTCGTTGCCAACGAGTTGAGTATTATCATGACCACTATTTTGATTAGTACGGGGAAACGATACCGGAGAGATAGTATTATTATCATAATCAGTAGTTTGTATTCGTTTATTTGCATGTTTTAAATTTCGTTCAACGTCTAATGATTTGCATTTCTTGCCAAGTGATAGCTTATCTGTCATCTGTTTCGTAACATTACAATTTTCATTTAATGAGAATTTACATGGAGATACTGGGGTTGAGTTTACTTTTAAATTAGCATCATTAAAAGATACATGATTTGATGGTGGTAATGTTGACAATGTTGACATACTTTTCATTTTTCTATCCATTGATGACTTAATAAAATAATCATTTGGTAAATGAATTCGGTTTGTAGAATTTTCATTGCTATGAATAAAGCTACCATCGTAATCTATATCATCATCAGAATCATTGTTATCACTTGTGTCACGGTCATCTACCCAGTGTGACCATACTGCAGTCAAATACTGTTCAACCTAGAGTAATATTTAAACAAAAAAACCAAGTTCATTCTGATTGGTTAAGAAGTTCTTGATTCTGATTGGTTGTCATCTCATATGGATAATCAAATATTTTTCAAATAAGAAATTTATTATGATTTAAAGTGAAAAACAGTAACTGGAACCACTAAAAGGTCAATAAAGATGAAGAAGAAGCTTTAACTTTATGGTTTATAACCAGTTTTATATTCTTCATTAATTAATTTTCGATTAAATTCTAACGATGATGTTGCAATACATCAACTTGCTGAAGTGTTTCAACATCACAGTGCATCTTTGAAAACAACTGATAATAAAAGACCTGTTTAACCAATATTTCTGATTAATTAACACTCAATGTCAAATAACTAAACAATAATGTTTGTGACGGTTACACTGAGTGTGATTTTTACGTTCAACATCGATTCTTTCAAGATTAACTGGAAGTCAAGCAAACGATTGTCAACTAACATGAAAAGTAAGTTTAAAGATCATTCCCTACTTAACAAAAAAAATAATATCAGATGAAATGATAAAGTAATCGATAATTGTAGATTTATGAAAATGATCTAGGACCGAGTTACAAACATAAGATGTAAGATATTTTGAGAATTTCCTTAACTGGAAAAAATGAAGAGTATGCACTTTAAGTATAACCGAACTTCATCCATAATACTTGATCTATTTCCATTAACTACAAATAAAAGAATATTCTTCCCCGTTGACTGATTAGGTCAACTTTCACAATCTGTTCGTTGGATGATATATTTACTAAATACGGTATTGTAGTCCGTATGCCTTTGCTTGTTTGCATGGATTCCAATGCATCAGCGTCTCGTTTTACCAGAAAATATACAAGAAGAAAGATGTGAATGGAGTAATTTGTTAGAATGTGATAAGATAACACTTGCCAGGAGTTTATAAGATTTTAAATTTTTACCCATAATCATATTCATAATGACTTCGAAAGAATCACTACACACCCTGCTAACTGTCTTCAGTACTCTACATAATACAAAGAAATCATTTGTCAAAAGCTCGGGAAAGAATAATGGAGAACAGTCAATAATAATTAGTGATATGTAAGAATTTACAAATCATAAAAGTAAACGTCGAGTAGTGCTAAAAACGTGTGGCCTCTTTATGTCATAAGTCAAACTGAAAACTAATACAGAAAGTGGTATAATTTTAATGAAATTACTTTCATCATAAAGAAAATAAATTCATTCATTAACTAAATTCATAGTATACATAAATGATTGTATTTACATCTGTTAGTAGTTTAAAATAGAGTAATGAATTCGTTTAAGAACGAAATAAATACAAATGATATGTGTTAATTCCAAGTTGTACTGACATCTGTTGATTAATAATAAATGAAATTACATTTTCAACTTTATTGAAATCATGAACCGATCTAAGTTAGACTAATATTGAAAACTTGGGATCACTGGATGAGTGTCTCGTTCTAGTATGGGACTAATCAACAATGAGCATCCACAGACTAACATTGATCGATTCACGATTTCAATGAAACTCAACAACTCCATACAGATAATTATTATGTGCTCACTAGTGACAAGCTTACAATCCAGCCAAAGTGCAATGAACAAATTTCGCTCAATCACGTAGAACATCATTTTCTTTTTACATAAAAGAATGTCTGATCTACACAATTTTGTTTGTTAAAGGTTGATTTCGTTGATATGTCTTCTTTTCCAGTGAATTCTGGATTCAACCAAAGCAGGGACAATTGACGTAGCCGTATAATACATGAATTCATTTCTATTTCGAGGTTTTTCAACAGCCGTTTACAACCTCTAAACAAAATATCATTCATCATTCCAAAAAGTCAGTGCACATAATTTACATGTCATATTATCGGAAGCGCTCTCATCAGTGGAGATAAATGGAGAGCAATAAGTATGGAAGAATTATAATAGATGTTAAACAATTTGAATATTTAGGCGAGACTATAATTTATGTATAAACCGATCAGATTTAAGATGACGAGTCTTGGATTTTGGCCCAAAATTCATTCATCCATATGAGTGAATATCATTTTGACACTAGCTGATGTCAGTTCGTGATGAAAACTCTTACTCTAATTCCTAACCCTAACTTCTAACTCGAACACCTCATTTTAATTCCTCATAGTGATTTTTAACCCTCGTTTGGTCCTAAGTAAGTAGGTGAATTCTCTGACTTTCACTTTAGCTCTGCTCAAGGGTGTTCCATGAATTATAATCTTGCCAATTATAATTCACCATGTCAAAGGAAGATTGATAACTGAATCTTTTTAGATGAACAAATTTGGTTTGAATCTTGATTCTAGCAATTGCTTCAGCGAAATATAGTAAATTTGAAGTTTCTTGTTGATTGATTATGTTGAAGGAATTTGAGATATGAACTATACAAGAACAAGATAATTTTGAAACTCAAAGTCTCAAGGAAGATAAAGAGTGAATGCATGTACACCATTTCGGCTCATTTATAGTCGTGTCACTCAAGATCTTCAAACATTGATTAAGATTATTGAATAGATCCTAATCAAGTAGTCTGTATTTATACCAATACGACTCATGAACTGATAACAGTGTTTTGATGTAACACCTTCAATTAAATATCACCATTCTACATAGTTCTGTAAGAAACTTTATGTACATAACAAACGTATCACTTATTTATTTGAACACATGAATATTGGTACAAGAGAGCGCCAATATATATGCGCCACACAAAACAATGAAAATTCGAAGAGAAGTACAAAAAAAAACAAAAAAAAACAACTAAGGAGCACAAAAGAAAAAGAGAACAATAATGAAGCGATTGGTGTAAAGGTAGTGTGGTAGTAACGAGGGAACGAAAAGGTACAATCAGAAGAAATCTTTCGGGTAAGGGAGACACTACCATTTTTTATGAAGAAAGTAAAAGAAGGTTACAGCAGGATCGCCACTGGCTTCTATTCTGAGCCATATCTGATAACGTCTCTAGCCACTGTGTAGCACCATCTCTCAGACCCCAACCAGGGAGTCGTGAAGGACCGACTGAAGCCAGCCTTTTGCAGCTTTCTTTCATACCACGACACCATGTCATGCACTGACCACCTATCCGCTTCTTCCAATTGGTCCCAGAGTCGGCAAATAATGCACGACGTGGAATTCTCTGGGACGACATTCGTAGAACATGTCCAAGCCACCGAAGTCGGTGTTTCAAGATGGTGACACCAATTGCATTATCATCTCTGTGCCCGAACACACGATGCCGAACCTCTGCATTACTGACATGGTGTTGCCACTGAATGTCAGCAATCCTTCGGAGACAGAGATGATCGAACACAGAGAGTCCTTTAACGTCCTCAACTCGGAGAGACCAGGTTTCACAAGCATAGAGCGAAACTGCTCTCACCGACGCGTTGTAGATCCTACCTTTTACAGCCAGAATAACATCACGAAGGCGCAAAAGATGGCCCAGATTGGCATAAGCCGCTCTGGGTTTCACTATACGTGAATTGATCTCATCACTTACGCCACTGCCAGCACTTATGATGCTACCCAGATACACGAACTTCTCGACTACTTCTATCTGTTCACCGTCCAGGGTGAGTACAGGATTGGAATCCTGCCAGTCTTGTAGAAGTACTTTGCACTTCGAAGGTGCAAAGCACATACCATACGTACGGACACTGATTGCCAACTGATTAAGTGCGGATTGCATGCCTTGGGCATTATCGCACAGTAAGACAATATCGTCCGCGTACTCAAGGTCAAGAAGTCTTTCTCCAGGCAACAGATCCACACCACCATTACTTACATTCATCAGAGTTGTTTCCAGAATGTCATCGATGGCAAAGTTGAAGAGGAATGGTGAGATTGGGCAACCCTGCCTAACCCCACTGCTCGAATGGAACAACGGAGAGAGGTGGTTGTATGCCCTCACTCTGCCTGAGGTGTTTTTATATAGGGCTTTTTGGATGTTAATAAACTTCTCAGGCACACCCTTCTTCAACAGTCAGTCAGTCAGTGAGTCAGCTACAACGTAGGACCAGGCACATATGTGCATCGGTCCAGGTTGCCATACCTCATTAGCACAGCAAGATGAACACCGGATTCATAGGAGTGGTTAGGTCAAAGGTTGCAATAAGGATATAGTATAGGAAGAAAGAATTAGTTCGTAGAAAGAAAGATATGAAGTGATTTTAGTCTCTTAGTTTAAGGGAAGACAGGGAGTGTATACACCGACGCCATTGTGATCGATTCTGAGCCATGTCACCAAGAGTCTCCAACCATTGGTTACGATAGTCACGCGGACCCCAACCAAGTAGTCTGCATCTACCAACATGGCTCAGACTAGAAGTTAGTGACTTCAGGCACTGATGCCACGTTTTGGTTTGGCCGCCCCTAACTTTCTTCCAACCATCCCTTACACCGGTTAGCATTGCACGTCGTGGTAATCGGTGTTCAGGCATACGTAATACGTGGCCCAACCATCTCAGTCGATGAAGATTCATAACCTCATCAACAGATTTAACATCATTCCCTAATACCCTGCGTCTAACCTCACTATTACTTACCCGGTGATCCCAGCAGACGCCAGCAATATTTCTAAGGCATCTGTGGTCAAATACTAGTAGCTTACGAGTGTCTTCTACTTTTAAAGGCCATGTTTCGCTGCCGTAAAGTAAGACAGAACGGACTGCCGCGCAGTATGCTCATCTTTTTATTGACAGACGGATATCTCGCCTTCGCCACAGGTGACGTAAGTTGGCAAAAGCCAAACGAGCTCTTCGAATCCGTGCTGAGATTTCGTCAGACACCAACCCATTAGGGCTGATCAGACTTCCAAGATAAGTGAAGTTGTCGACGCGTTCGACTACTTCACTCCCTATCCTTAGTTCAGGTGTTGACACAGACCAGTCCTGAAGCAACAACTTGCATTTAGAGGGAGAGAAGCGCATCCCAAACATTCTGGCATTGTTGTTCAGTGCTACCAGAAGACTCTGCATTTTGTCAGCGTCTTCACCAAACAGGACTATATCATCTGCGTATTCTAAGTCGATAAGTGGACCTCCTGGAAGGAGATCAATACCCGAGAATTCAGTCGACGAGAATGTTATTTCCATCAATAGGTCTATGATGAAGTAAAACAAAAATGGAGATAGTGGACAGCCTTGACGGACACCACTTGAAGTTGCAAAAGTAGATGACAGTTCGCCATAAGCCCTGACTCGACTAGTAGTGTTCGAGTAAAGAGCCTTCACAAGGTTTATGTACTTCTGGGGTACGCCTTTCAATGACAGACACTGCCACAGAATCTCGCGGTCTACCGAGTCAAATGCTGCTTTTAAGTCGAGAAAGACCACCATTGTCGGACGCCGATAAGTATACCTGTGTTCTAGAATCTGACGAATGGTGAATATGTGGTCGATGCAGCCACGACCAGGTCTAAAGCCAGCTTGGTTCTCTCGTGTTTGTAGTTCACGAGTCTTAGTTAGGCGTCTGATAATTATCGAGGCCAGTATTTTAGATACTATGTTTGTTAAACTAATCCCTCTGTGGTTGTCACAGGATGATTTTGACCCTTTCTTATATATTGGGACGATAAGTGATTGCGACCAGTCAGATGGGATAAAGTCTAATTCCCAGATCTTAGCTAAAATATTAGTCAACCTAATCGCTAAAATTGGACCACCATCCTTAAAGATCTCTGGAGCCAATCCATCTGGACCAGCTTCCCTTCCTCGTTTCAGATTAATTATAGCCTTTTGAACTTCAGCAAGAGTTGGGGGACCTTCAATAAGCAATCCCAGAGAACAGTCCTGTCCAACGGATCGTAGGCAGCCCTGATGTCAAGAAACACTACGATTGTTGGCCATTGATAAGTATGGTGGTGTTCTAACATTTGGCGGAGGGTGAAGATATGATCAATACGTCCTCGACCAGAACGAAAACCAGCCTGCTCCTCGCGAGTCAATCTTTCTCGGGTTTTGAACAACCTACTAAGTATGACGGAAGCCAATAGCTTGGACGCAATCGGAAGTAGACTTATCCCCTGATAGTTGTTACAGGAACGACGTGAACCCTTTTTAAAGATAGGGACAACTATCGACTCATTCCATGACGTTGGTACACTCTCTAGTTCCCAGACCTTTGTAAACAACGTCGTCAGTTCCTTAGCCAGAAAGTCACTACCATCTTTAAAAAAGGCTGAGGGTAAGTCATCTGGGCCAGGTGATTTGTAACGCTTCAAGAGTTGGAGTTCCTTGCGGACTTCCTCCTCATTTGGTGGATCAGTCGTCACCGGCCATGGAGGGCAGGACAGTCTGACCGATGTTGCCGGAGCAGCAGGCCAGTTGAACTGCCCTTCGAAGAATTCCGCCATCGTCCAAGACGTCGATGGATGTTAGTGATTGGCATCCCATCATCCTCGCAGATTGTTTCACTCACACCAGACTTCTTGCTGCCAGTGGCTCGGATGAGCTGGAAGAGCTTCCGGTAGTTACCAGATGCAGCTGCTGCTTCCAGCTCATTAGCACGCTTCGACCACTAGGCTTCTCGGTCCTTACGCAAGCTTTGCCCAATTTCCTTTCGTAACATCCTTCGTTTACGGTCAAACTCACGGTCACCCGGAGTAGACCGACGGGCTTCAATGAGTTGTAAGGAACCAGAAGAAACCCACAACTGACTGTTCCCGCCATTTTCATGGCGTCATGCAATTGCAACCAATGCTCATCTATACTTTTCGGTGGAGTGGTAGCTAGCCTAGAGGCTAGCTCGGTTCGATACTTACTTGCAACAGAAGTTGCAACCAGCTTGCTAACATCAATCTTTTGGTGGTGGTCACTCCGTTGGCCACTGAAAAGTAAGGCAAGATTGGCGCAGACCAAGGCATGGTCAGAGTCCAGATAGGTACTCCAAAAGGAGCAGCAGTCTTGTACACAACCACGCCAGCGGTAGCTGATCGCGATGTGATCAATCTGAGTCCAGGCTTGGGATGCAGAGAGAGGACGCCAGGTGGCACATCGGCGATGACTGTGCCGAAAGTTAGTGTTAGCCAGAAACAGGTTGTGGTCTGTGCACAGTTGCAGTAGACGGTCCCCGTTATCTGACCTGCGACCAACGAGTCCCCATTGGCCACCTAAACGACTCTCTTCTGTGCCTAGACGCCCGACCTGTGCATTCAAGTCTCCGGCCAGTACTACAATATCTGTCGAACGCACTTTCTGGAGAAGAACAGATAACTGGTGGTAAAACTCATCCTTGATTGCATCCGGGCTGCAATCTGTCGGGGCATAGGCGGAGATGACGAAAAGACATCGTTTCTCACGCCGATTTCTTCTCACTTTGATGGAACTTTCTAATCTAACAGCACATAACCGACTGTTAATGGGGATCCAATCGACTAGTGCTGCCTCAGCTCTAGCGCTTAGTGCGACACCAACGCCAGCAAGACCAGACGAAGATGCCACAGGGTACCCCGGATAAGCGCACGTAAAACAAGCTTTTTGAAGCGACAGATGGAGATCGAATTTGTAGTACTTCGCCAGAGTCTTGAATACGGGTCTCGGATAGACAACAAACATCAATATTAAGACTTTCCAAAGACATAGCCAGCCCTATCTGTTGTCCGACCTGCATAAATGTGCGAACGTTGAAGGCAGTCAGTTTGAATGGTGCACGTGGTTTCAGAAAAACTGCTTCAGTTCTCGTATTCGGTGGTAACATACAATTTTCAACCGGACAGTGACTCGAGAACGTTTAGATACAGTCGGATTTCCACCAAAGACGAGCCGCTGTATAAGTATAAAAGAGGGTGAATAATGTGGAAAATAATAATAATAATAATAATAATAATAATAATAATAATAATAATAATAATAATAATAATAGTATTAATAATGACAATAATTGTAATGATAATAATTTGAATCAATTGATTGTTTCACTTACAGTAAATATGCTTTAAGTATTCTACTACTCTACTCTTCGTTATATGTAAACATTTAAACAGTGATTATAGATAATATTGAAATATTCAAATTATGAAAATAAATGAACTGACAACAGTTGAAATAAAACATGATAATGAACAGTTCCTTAAAGGGTCTACAAATCGAAGAATCAAGGGAAATAGAGGAATGCTTTTGAATTTCCATATTAATATGAAATTAATGGATGAATGAATGGATCTATCGACTTACATTTATTCCAGGCTTTGATTTTGATTCTTTTTTTATTAATTTTGACAATTCATCATAAATGTCATCTTCCTACAAAAAAAAATTAAGAGAGTAACATGAAAAAGAATGACAAGGAAATTTCAAAGTAATCCCGATATAACGAAGTTTGATAGGCTGATATTATTAGTAGTGCTAAACTACTAGAGTTAACTTCTTAACTTATGTAATCTTATGTTGGAACTTCACCGTTACATGATTTTTTATTCTAGCCAACTATATTGACATTCAAACTGTCTAACTTCCTCAGTACTCTTTAGAGAGAAACTGAAATTTTAGCAGATATCCATGTGGGATTTAAGCATAAAGTTGCAATAACAGGCTCTACAGTATCGTTTGATTAGTTTTCACGTTAAACAAATAATTCAATATCCAATGACCAAACCTCGACAATAGAGGTACATACAACTTGATGGGTAATTTGGATAAGGTTCAATGAAATTTCATTAATCATATAATACACATTAAAATAAACTGAACTAGTGCTATGCACTCTTCAATGACAGCGATGAAGATGGTAGAGACCAGTTTTACGAGGGGCTGCGGTCGATCGTAGTGAAGTGTCCAGGAAAGGACCTGACCATCCCGATGGGAGACCAGAACACCAAAGTCGGAATGGACAACACTGGATATGAAGATATCATGGGACAACATGAACTGATAGAAAGGAATGAAAATAGTGAGAGATTTACAAATTTATTTGCATTCAACAAAATGGTAATAGGCGGATAAGACATACACTGTGAAAATCATCAAACTGCATCACAAGACAAGCGCTAACTTGAAATCCTGAAGGGAAAATGAAAAGAGGAAGACTAAAGAATACATCACGCCGGAAATTGGAAACGGACATCAAAAGAATGAATAGCAACTGGAAACAACTTGAAAGGATTACCCAGGACAGACTTCGGTGAAATATCGTTGTGCGTGGCCTCTGCTCCTCCACGAAGGTTACCAGGCGTAGGGAAGTAAGGAAGTAATAACTTTTTATCCACCAGTAACTAGATAACAGATAAATTCCTGAAATTCTATTTGAAATTTGTAACTGACTGAGTTCAGTTATGCTGGAAATAAAAGTTATCCACCAGTTTTTTTGGTTAGCGTTTTTAAAAAAAATGCTGGTCGGCGGCCTATGCTCCATTATGAGTAACATGCGTAAGTAAGTAATCAGTAGTTTTGGAAGATTGCTGATGGGACATTGAGGACTGATTCAAGTTAGAAATGTGAATAATTGAGTCTCAACCTAATTATCCAAAGACGAAACACTCACACCTTGAGACTCAAAAACCTGAGATTTAATCGTTTGATGGAGGTCACCTAGTGGTTTACTCTTGTGAGGCTTGTCACAATAAGATCAAACGGCTGTCCAATGTTCATTTTAATGAAAACTTTTTCTTCCATTTGATTCAGTTCACAAAGAAAATTAACTTTTCTAAAGCAGTTGGTAAACATTTTAGAAAATATATTCATGTTCTATCTCGAAATTAATTCAGCTCTGTTAAGTATTTAATTCTAAGGGAAAAACGATGTACATCCATATGCACACTTATTTTTTTTACTGCTCTAAAAGTAGGAAGTTACACTTAATTTTTTCAACCAATTCTCCCATTAGATAAATGCTGGATAAATATCACTGATAAGTTTTGCTATTGACACGCTTAATTTGTCTTCCTATCCTGTTCTGACATCCTCAACCACTTCTGCTCGTCAACAGGAACACCAGAGGGGAGGTGCGTATTTCCAGGAAAGCTTTGCTCCGAGGTTGGTTTATGTACAGAAAAGCAAGTGTATTTAAAGTATTGAGGATGTCTTTTGGGCTCTTGGAACCATACTGAATATAATAGCGACGTAGGCAATTATCCAATCAGAAACGTGACACCTGACTCCCCACTTTCTAGATGTTGCCAAAAAGCTCCTACTCAATGCTGATTGGATGAATTGTCTCCCAGAGTTTTTCGGACCCTTATGGACTTTTCCGAGGAATAATTTGGAACTCCCCAACAATCACAATATATTATTTCGTTTATTTAGGCAGTAAACTGTCATAACCAGTCATATTAATGTAAAAGGTGAATATGAGGTGAACTTTTGGCGTTGCATGAACAATATGACGACGAAATTTATTAGCATATAAATACATGTATATTTTTATATTGATGATGCATGTCCCATCCTATCTGGTACTCATCATTTTACACAGCTGCATTCAAGTCCCGATACACACACTAAGACTCAAAGCCAGTACCTTTCTCTTCAAGTAGCATTGAATTAACCAATGAATTATTTAGTTCGAATAGCCACTGACTTGTTCAACAGGTGTGATATTTTTATTATTATTGGTAAAGGCTCGAATTAATTGATTTGTTCTGAAGAAAAAACGGGAAGAAATGATTCCATCAAAAGAATCAGCTAAGAATCTCCATAAACTAAACAAGATCAATCAGAATTCAATGATCAATATGAACAACAGGATAATTTAATCTTTTCCATTCGTAATTTCATCAATCAAAATGTTTCAACCATCATAAGTTTTCTTAAAATTATATAAATACTAATAGATAAGAAAAAATAATGATTGTTATGGCTTTTGCTCAATTAATTATCACGTGACTAAGTCGCCAATCAGATCATCGACTTATATGATCTTGGCACTGTGCCGAACCAATGACATGTCGAATAGCACGAGCAGCCTTGAGTCAACTCTGAGTCCTTATTGGTCCTCCGTATGTTAACTTTTCGCCTATACCTGTCCGTTCGACTACAGAACACAATCTCAGCTTCCACTACATGAATCATGTATTTCAGACATACGTTGCTTATATACAAGCAAACCAGACTGCATTACACCATAAAATGAAAAATAATCATGCAACATCATGCCAAAAGTGGTTATGACTGTGAGAGACTGGGTATAACTTGAGTATAATAAATCGTATAATAAAAGCCAATAAATCAATTGAAAGCTTATGATAAAAGGAATATATATATATATATATATATATATATATATATATATATATATATATATATATATATATATTATAAAATATATATATATATATATATATATATATCCTAACAGTTGCCGTTCATTTATTTTTTGTTAGGACAACAATGATGATGTGCAGTTTATGAAGGTAAGATGTGATTGATTACTTAGCGTGATCTGATAGACATCAACCATTAAATATGTAGTTTCCTCTTGTACTAATGATTTCTACCTCGGGCTAACCAAGTAAAGACTGCTTGCAATTTTGTTGAATGAAGTATTGTCTAAGCTTATCATCTAGTTCTCCATTATTTGTCATCAATTAGATATACGGCATAACGTGATCCAGTCACTTTGTATATGGCCTATTAATCATGTATCCAGTTCAGTGGTAGTAAAATTTCAAACCCTGGTGTTAATATTGTATTTTACGGTAAAACATTTATGGAAATGTGAAAATATCTTTAATTCATTGTGGTGAAAGCGAACTTAGGTGAAGAAAACCAATTTCTCTCTAACATAAAATTATCAGTAGAGGGTTGTGAAGATTGTTGAGTTTAAATTGAGACCAGGCGGCCTGCTTAAATATCTGGGCTACCTGTTCCTGCCATATGCATATTTCAACAAGTTATCTATTTTCTTGTTTGTTTTAACACATCATTATGTCTATTAGTCTCATAACCTATCCAGGTACATTTGTGAAAAGTTTACGACATTTCGTAGCACAAATTAAAAAAGAGCCCATATCAGAAACTTCGTGGTTGCTGGCAATATGCATTGAAAAGAATATACACTAATCAAATGTCGATTCCTGAACTGCTAACATCTAACTGGAGAGGATGAATCAAGAAATAAGAAAAGGAAACTTGTTGAAATAATTTACGCTGAGAATTCTATATTGCATCAGAAATATAATACGGAATAAAACCATTAATAATAATAATAATAATAATAATAATAATAATGAACCGATCAATGTTAGACCGCGAATGTAAACCTGGAAGAAGTGAATGGCCGTTTCCTCTTATTAAAAAAGTTCTTATACAAAATGACAGTGTCTTCATAAAATATGAGAATCATATATTAAACACGTTATTTGCACATCTTCCTTCAGTCGTCCCCTATAAACTTTCATGATTCTTTCAATTCTCTTATTACTAAAATTTCTCTCAGTTTCCTTACCTGTACTTTTCAATTCAATCTTCCACTAGATGGTATTCCAATTTCAATTAGTGCTGCTATGATGATTAGGAGTATTTGGATTATAGTATGAACTAAGAATCCCAGAAATAACGTAATCGGATCAAGAAGTACTAGATAAGCACAAACGAATGTACTGTATTTAGAATTCGAAATCCAGCATTCAACAAGTACAAAGGAATCATTAGTTCATTCAAACACCACAGCTACATACTACTTATATCTATCAACATAAATAGTATATATCACAATATATTAGATTTAATACTTATGAAATGCATTACAATGAGCAAATATACATATTCAATGCATTCTATAAACACAATACAATGTTTACTTACAGTGATTGAATTTAAATAAGTAGTTTTTATTTCATTCAATATATCATTATGATTAGAGTATAAAAATTGTTTAAAACTTGTCATAATTAATGATGCATATTTTGTTTGTAATGTTGAATTATCAGATGGAAATATTCGATGCCAATTACCACAATTATGATGTTCATAGAATTCAAGTGATAATTGTTGACGTATTCTAGATAACTGTTGTTTCTAATTAGTTTTAGAAAAAAAGAAAAAGAAATAAACGAGTTATTTCCATAATGCTCTGGTACGACTGGGAGTGAGGAGAGTTCGCTCACCCTCCCGAAATGCTCTCACATGGACACGCGTATATAGACTCTGCCAGGGAAGTCCTACTCACTGCCTTCTCGTGGCGGAGGTGTTGTTTACGAAACTGAGAGGACGAAGAGGGAATGTCCGGCGCTTTAACCGGGTTGGTGGACATGGAGAGTCTACTTAGGGGATTTGGAAAACCCTGATCCCAAACCAATGGTGCACATGGGCTTCAGTATCCTGAGGGAACAAATGGCGTATGAATCAATCGTTGGTCATCGGCTACCATGTGACTGCATTTTTTCACGATGCTCCACTGCCTTGTGGATCAGACCTCTAGATCGAAGGCTCCGGGCGTGACTCACTAAGAAAACCATCTGCTTCGGTTTGGGCATCCGGGCAGTATCACAGCCTTCACACTTATCAAATGAGATTTGTGTGGCGCATATGTATTTCGTGCCTTCTTGTACCAATATCTATGTGTTCAAATAATAATATTAATAATTTCCATAATCAATAATTTTCTTAATCAATATTTTATAAAGTGATGTATAGTAAGTTGAATATGGTGGAAGTATATCCTATAATTATTAGTAGACGCTCGGACTATTGTATTTTCTATATTCCTCTATTTCTAAGTTTTTGTTTGATTCATAAATTGTCGTCAAATGTTTTTTTTTCAGATTTATCATGAATTAACTATTCTCGGTAATACTTTGGTCTTGTATCACATATAACTAAGTTATGTACATATTGTAACTTCGTGTTGCTCTGATGTCAGACAACTCAAATACACTATTGGATGAGTTTTGATTAGTAATTAAATTGATCTGCTTTCTATCATCATCTGATTAGAAGGAGCGCGAGAACTAATAAGTGTTAACGTCTCGGTTGTTGTTGATCTGTTAATATGTCCATTTGTGTAAGTACAAGGTCACAGTTGATGAGTGAAAATGAAAGTAAATGTGATTAGTCACGACTGGGTATTAAATATGTCATTTCCTCTCTTTAGTGATTTGTACTGCGGAATCACTAAAAGTGACTGCTCGTAATTGTGTGGAATAAAGTATTTTCTAGCGTTACTCTGATTTTCTATTTTGGTCATAGATCGTGCGTCTGATATAACCCGATCTAATTTCTAATACCATTTAAGCATCAAACCTAGTGGTATTATAAACTCTATTACCCAGTTCAGTTTTATTTTCGTGAATTCATGACCTAAATTTCAATCAATCATAAGAAATGTGGAGTTTGGTACTTGAATATTCATAGAATGCTACACTATATCACTACAATGAGGTGGAATTATCTAAAATAATGTCAAAGTAGTGTAGTACAATACAGACAATATAACTCAAGAAGAAAAAACTGATTTACTTTTGATATGAATACGTGACCTACTTTTCAGTATATTCTTACTAACTGATATCATTTTTTATTAAGATCATGAACCGATCAATGTTAAACCACGGTTGAAAACCTAGAAACACTACCGAGTGGTCCCATATTAGGACGAAACGGCCATCCAGCGCTTCCAGGTTTTCAATGGTCTAACATCGATTAGTTCATGAACTCAATAAAAACAACAATCTTCACAACCCTGTACCGGTGATATCACTTTATTATCCAAAAGATTTTGGACACTATATTTGTCAAATCCATACAAACAGTTGGAGTAGTCAGCACCAGTGAATAATTGATAAATAGGTGTGCGTACTTTTTAAAATAGTGTCAAATATGCTTAAAGTTTACATGTCGTAGTTGTAATTTGTGCATTGGTTTAACCGATTGGAGATAATATTTACTATCCTTTGTTGCAAGATGATCGAAACTAACTGTTTTTTTGTTGGAAAATACATTGTTTGACAAAAATTTCAATTACAATCAGACAAAAACGTAGTTTTAATGACAGTCATCTTGAATTTCTTAACCCTTTGTCTACCTAAATGTAATAGCCGACTCTCAAGGCCATCCAGAAACTGTATAAAATAAATTTCTTCTAAAGTACCATCCTCAATCGGAATAGAAAATAGACTTTTGATTGTCTTCTGTTATTTCAGTAGTTTAAGGGCAATGTCAAGAGTTCTTGGGGACATAGAATTTAGTAAAAGGGAACAAACTACATAACTCAGTAATGTAGTTACATTTAAAATAATATGTAACTTAATATATTTTAATCAGTGATCTTTTCAAAGAAAGTATCTTCATTTAAAAGACTTGCTTTGTTCACTACATAGAGTCATTTCAGTCTTGTCCCACAGAACTAGTAACAGATAACAGTTTAATTCATTTTTTTGTTGGTTATTTGGATTTTCTGATTGGTGTTTAGGACTACAATTGACCAGTCTCTTATTGGCATACGTGTATCCTGTGCGGACTGCCTCGATATTGTCTTATGTAACAAGTATCATAGGCAGATATGAATGATAGCTAGTGGTGGAATCCAGGACGCGCGTTTCGTTCTATTTGGGACTCGTCATCTCAATATACCTAAATGAGATGATTTTTACTCTGGGACTTGAACCCAGTACCGCTCGCTTCAAATGCCATCAGGTTATCCACTTAGCTACTAAGTCTAGATAACCACTAACTTGTGCAGTAGCGTGAAGCAGAATTCATTTTTGTGTTGGGATGCTAGTACATCCAGCTGACGAGTCCCAAATAGAACGTAACACCCTACCTGGATTCCACTGCTAATCACTATCCATTTCTGCTTACAGATAGCAGTTTATATCATAGACATAACAAACGACTATACTATCAAGAAGAACCAGTATTTTTTGGTAAGATATTATAGTACTTATCCACTGTTATATTGTTGTTTAGATGTGGGTTGCCAAAGTTCGGTTATAACACCTGAATAGTGACATTGTGTGATACCCTATTTTATTCACATAGAAGAAATTAGTTCTATGATGATTATGGATACAGCTTGTTAAAAAATGCTAACTAACACAAAATCGAAACCAGTTAATAAACACAATCTGTAAATATCATTTTATTGCTTGATTACAAGAACTACATTTTCTATAAAAACCAAACAAAATCCTCAGGTCGTGGATGCACACAGTTAAGGAATCCCATACTAAGAATAACCAGTTGTTTAGTACCCCCCAGTTTCCAATGGTGATCTAGCCAAGATCAATTCATAATTCAAAGTATAAAAAAAGACAATCATAATATAACTCAAACTTACTAAACGATCAATTTTCCAACTGAGCTTTTTATCCTCCAATTGATCTTGATCATTAATTAATTTTAAATAGTCAATATCTGAATGGTTTGCAAAAGGTGATTGGTAAGTTGTTTTTAAATGGACATTATCACGACGAAACAATTCATGGTTTACATGTTTTTTGTTAGACAATCGATTATTGTCGAAATATTTATGAATCTTATCATTTTGATTATTGGAATTTGATTTATACATCCAATTTCTTGTTTGTACAGAGTGACTACTATATAAACGTTTTCTTGTAGTTAATTTTTGTTGCTTTTCCACATGAGATTTATCTGATGGTCTGAAAAAAAGACCGATGAAATGTATGCGTGTAAAGCTACCGTAGAGAGTCAAAATGGAAAAGGATAACTGATATTAGTCAGTGACTATCCAGTCATTTAAGGTGATGATTGGAGTTAGTCGACAGGAAACCCTAGACCTCAGTGTTATTTGACACTCATCAACAAGGTGTATCTGAAATCCTGAGGGAACTGATGCTCCACGGAGAATTCGATCCTAGGACCTCAAACTGTCTAGTTCAATTATTTTAATGAAAAAATAGTTTTGATGTGTAAGGAAGTCTGGGGTTACTCTTCTCAAGTCAATTGATTAAAAATATATTTCAGTCCTACAGGAGGTCAATCGCGTCACGAGTAGCTCAGCGTTAATGTTTCTTAATGTGAAGCTAGATAACACAAGCTTGAATCTTCCAAGGAGCATCGAAATTACCAGTACGCCTTGCTGATAAATGGCTAATAGAGCGAAAACGATCTCTAGAAATTCTTATCGACTACTTTCGACCATCATTTAACATCACAACATAGTGCACGCAATATCAAGTCACGTAGACTAGTGGCTACATTGCAACCTGATCAAAAGAATTCGATCTGCACTGAGAACGATTTCTGAAATCACATTCCCTACGTTTACTGTCTTTTTGAATATCATTTATACTGTCACTAATTCAACTACTTTGGTGTACATCTGCTTGTGCTGATCACATGGTATGACAGTTTAGACAGTGTCGATATACACATATATTCCTGATTCTAAATTGCTTATAGACGAATAACTGATAAATTACTACTGAGGAATCCGAAATTTATCACTCATCAAAGTCACTAGAAACCTAGAAAACTCTGAGAAATGATTTACCAGCATTGCGAATAGAAGCTTATTAGAAATATCGAAAAAGAAAAATGAAGGATCATTTGTTTTATTTACGATTGAATCAGTCAGTTACAACGTAGGACCAGGCACATATATGCATCAATTCAAGTTGCCACACCTCATTAGCATAACAAGATGAACACCGGATTCATAGAAGCAGTTAACTCAATGGTGTAATATATGAAAGAAATATTGCATATAAGGACATAGTACAGGAAGAAAGAATTGGTTCGTAGAAAGAAGCGATTTTAATCTCATAGTTTAAAGGGAGATAAAGAGTGTATACACCTACACCATTGTGATCGATTCTGAGCCATGTCACACAAAGTCTCCAACCATTGCTTACGATAGTCACGCGGATCCCAACCAAGTAGTCTATATCCACCAACATGGCTAAGACTAGAAGTTGGTGATTTTAAGCACTGACGCCATGTTCTGGTTTGGCCCCCCCTACATTTCTTCCAACCATCCCCAACACTAGTCAGTCAGAATTGCGCGTCGTGGTAATCAGTGTTCAAGCATACACAACATGTGGCCCAACTATCTCGGTCGATGAAGATTAACAAGCTCATCAACTGATTTACCATCATTCCTTAATATCCTGCATCTAACCTCACTATTGCTTACCAGGTGATCCCAGCAGATGCGAGTAATATTTTTAAGGCATATGTGGTCAAATACTAGTAGCTTACGAGTATCTTCTACTCTTAATGGCTGCGTTTAGCAGCCGTAAAATAGAACAGAACGAACTACTGCGCAGTACGCTTGTCCTTTAATTGATTGATGGATATCTCGCCTTCGCCATAAGTGATGTAAGTTGGCAAAAGACAAATGGGCTTTTCGAATCGGCGCAGAGGTTTTATCAGACACCAATCCATTAGAGCTGATCAGATTTCCAAGATAAGTGAAGTTGTCAACACGTTCGACTACTTCACTCTCTATCCTTAGTTCAGGTGTTGACACAGACCAGTCCTGAAGCAACAAATTGCATTTAGAGGGGGAGAAGCGCATCCCAAACAACAGCCGTTCATAAATCCAAGAGGTGTTATCTGTTTAATTCATCTACAAAATATATCCTCAAGGAATTCAGATCTGTTTCAGGATAATGAGTTTGAGATTATGATTTAGTAACAGTGTTAGATACAATCTACTATCTGTTAGATACAATCTATAGGGACAAAACTAAGCATATGATATGCTTAACACCAATTTTACTTCATGATATCATAAAGTAATTCTTATTATCATTTTAAATGTACTTCAAGTATTACATAGTGATGTTTTCCTGGGTTTTGAATTTCGCTCAATAGCCCAGAAGTTATTTTTTCGATTCTGATTGGCTTATCCCTATGCTGTACTTTTACCATCGTATGTTAGGGCGGCTTCAGTACATTAATCAATTAACACAATTAGTCAGTTAAAATAGATTTAAAGTAAAAGACTGTTTTGTGACATTCTCGAAATTAAAAAATAGTCATCCAAGAAGTTTAAATATACGACTTTATTATCAAGAACTCACAACATATACCTGATAAAGACATTTATGGTATAAATCTAAATTACAGAATTATAATTAATTTCATAGTTAAATTCATGAGTTGATTAAAGCTAGACTACCATTGAAAACCTGGAAGCACTGGACGACCGTTCCGTCCTATCATGGGACTCTTCAGCATTGCGCGTCCACAGTCTTGCAACAAAGGGACTCAAACCATAAAGCAAAACCCATACATTTCCTACGTTTTCTCTATTATTCAAGTTAACATATAGAAGTAGTCTGAAGGTTATAATAAGCAGTTAAGAATATCAATATTTAAACGTTCCAGTAGCAGATTAATTAACTATTTAATATTTTTAGAATGGGTTTGTGGAGATTTTTAGAAATTTCACAGGTTGAAATCATGAGTCAATTGAAGCTAGATCGCCATGGAAAACCTGGAAGCATTGGAAGGTCGTTTCGTCCTAGTATGAGACTCCTTAGCAGTGCGCATCCACGATCCCACACCCCGCGGGATGCGAACCCATGACCTAATGGTCTTTTAAAATATAATAATACATAACTAAAAATAAATTATCATTATTCACATTATAAAACTAACTTAATATTTAATAAACGAATTGTATCTGTTAATAAATTATATTTAATTTGTTGATCTAATTGTTGATCTGTATTAAAACTTGGTGAACGATTCACTTCAATTAACCATGGATTTAATTGTTCATCAATTAATATATCAAAACCTAATATTTCAAATAAATTTGAACAAATCAATGATGATGATGATGTTGGATCTTGGTCAACTTTAGATTTGATCATAGTTGATGTTGTCATAGATGTTTGTTTAGGATCATGATTAACTTTATTGTATATGAATTGTTTAGTATTCATTGTTAAATCTTGTTTACTTTTATAATATCCAGATTGTTTTAGACTGTGTTTATTATTATTATTATTATTATTATTATTATTATTACTATTATTGTTATTACTATGAATGTAATTCTGATTTGATTTATGTCGTGAAATACGATAAAAATGTATTAGATGTGGTAATGCTATAATTAATGTTTTAATAATTAAATCATAGATTTTATCCCAAATAATCAGTGGATTAGAGTGTTTTATTTTATGTATATAATGATTAAAGAATGCAAATGAACGTTTACTACCGGATATATCATCATTGGAACGATTATATTGTGAATGGTGTTTATTTATAGTATAATTAGTTAATTGTCGATAAATTGAATCCTGAATAATTGAAATATTAAAAAAGGAAAAAAATTGTTCCATTACAAATTGAATTCAGTTAGATAAATATTGAAAACTAGAGAGTATTGAATAACTGTTCTGTGATAATATGAGACTCTCTAGTAGTGCCTATACATGACCTGATTGATGAATGAACTTATAACTTTCAGGTCTTCCAAAGAGCGCTCAACTTTCAAAACTTTGAGTTGAAATCCAATGGTATGGATTGCTTACTTCAATCAATTCATGATATAATGTAACCACGTTTGAGTGTTACTGATCACAGCTTTTGAATAGAACTTCCTGAATTATCTCTCGGAATATTGTTATATCTTGAATTTTGATTTCTTGATATACCGCATATGAGAGAGTACTAGAACACCAAAACCCTTCCAAGTTGCAATAAGAAGACAGAAGACTAATGAAAGGAATATTATTCCAAACAGTGTCAATCATAGTACAAAATTGTCAGGTATTTATAGTTTTTAGTAAGAACGAAATCATCATTACAGTCCTCCAATCCGCATACAGGGGGCTATTAGCATTATCCAATCGGGAAGCTACACGTAGGAATTCTAGGATATTCTTCCGAAAGGTGATTGGATGGAACATCTTCGGCTCCATCTGAGCCTCTTACTGCTTTCTCGAGTTCACCCATGGTCTGTCGTCACAAATATACATTAATATATAGGGATAGTGGATAAAACTATCGTATAAGAACTAATCATTGAACAGTGATCAATGATAGATATACATGATGTTTAGGCTTTAGTTATAACTGAGACCTACAAAAACCAGGTTTTCTATTTGATTATATTGTTATTCACTTTTTTCCTCTTCCTGTAATCAATCGAGAATCCAAGAGTCTAATCAAAGTGTCAGAGCATTATAGATATCATTACCAAGGTTTGATTTGATAATTTCGAATAAATTGAGCATTGAGTAGATTGTTATAAATAAATAATATATTTGTAATATCCCAATGAGTAGAAGAATTAGATTTTTTCACAGAGTGGGAAGTTATTACTAAAATTATCCTGTTGTGTTTGACTTGTAGAACATAAATACTCAAATTAATTTATCACTGAGTAATGATGGATACTAAATTCACCTAGTCTTTAATTTTGATCAAATTCTACTAATCAGTTAGCTGTGTGGCAGCTAGTCCAGATGATTCAACATGGCATAGAACTATTTTTAGATGTTAAATAGATTGAGATAATCTCCAGGATACTCTGGACCTATGTTTAGTGCACATTATTTATTTATTTAAACACATAAACATTGGCACAAGGAGGCACCAAGTAGATACGCGCCACATAAATCATTCGATTTATGTGAGGGCTGTGATACTGTTTGGGTGCCCAAACCGCAGTAGGTGGTTTTCTTAGTGAGTCACGCCCGGAGCCTTCGACCTAAAGATCTAACCCACAAGGCAGTGGAGCATCGTGAGAAGATGCAGTCCCATGGTACCCGGTGACCAACGATTGGTTCATACGCCATTTGTTCCCGCAGGATACTGGAGCCCATGTGCACCATTGGTTTGGGATCCGGTTAAAGCGCCGGACATTCGCTTTTCGTCCTCTCATTTTCATAAACAACACCCCTGCCACGAGAAGGCAGTGAGTAGGACTTCCTTGGGAGAGGCCATATACGTGTGGCCGTGTGAGAGCATTTCGAGATGGAGGGCGGGCCCGCCCCACTCTCGGCCATACCAGGGCATATGGGGGCATGTTTTGTGCAAGTGCTTAACACATTATTATCAAAATTAGAAATTCCAGATTGCGTATTTATGAAAACATTTTATACAGGAAAGAACTTTTATTGATCAGATTTAGACTTACTCCACTTGGTTCACTTGGTTTAACATATTTCTCAGCGCTCAAGCGTACTAAACCTTCATTATATATGAAAATTTTTAACGGATCACATGATGTAACTAAAACATAAACTCTTAGATCACATTTATATCCGTCAATAAGTAATGGATGTTCAATATATTCTTGGATAACACTTATTACGTTATCATTTACATTTCCTGATATTTTATTCATATTACAATATAAACGAATTCTGAAAAAGATAAAGGTAATGGGAGAAAAAAGATTGAATGGAAATAATCAAAAACATTTGCATATATTTGTAGACATTATACTAGTAATATATTAATAATTTACTAAAAAGGCAGTATAGAACAGTTGGATTGTAGCTAAAAGTACAATCAGTGATGGGTGTTTTTTTCTATTTAAGACTCTTAAGCTGAATTCACTTATATCCTAGTGTTGATGTTCATACTGAGAACATCACTGAGCATCAAAACTGATGTCTAGGTTTATTCATAAAACAAGTCTTAAATATGATGAAACTCTCTCTCTTTTTTATACAGCTAACCTCATTCAATCTGTTCTAGAAAAACTTGTGATGAGATTGTCATAACGACTTAATCTGAATAGGATGTACATATATGCCAACCAAGATCAATCAAAATCTAATCCTGAATATTAACAATGAGACAACTTAAAATTTAATTGATAAAGATATTTAAAAGGCTTTGTAAAGATTTGTTCAACTTAAGGCTAGTTTTCCAATCATAATCAAAGCAAATTCTGGTATATTTGTGAATCATTTCAAGAGCTCACTCTAAATTAGTTATCTAGAGGAAACTATCATGATAGATATCAGTGTCAGTACCAATAATGGTATTATTAGTGGTAATAAAAACTGATATATCCATCTAAAGTCCCTTGTGATTGGCCGATGCGTGAACACAGACATATCTGGTATATCATACATATATTATACATACTTCTATTCTTTGTACTTTTTTCCATAATGTACTGTTGTTGTGGTTTAAATTTAGTTATAGATCGAATCGTCAGATGACTGAGTACTAGTGTGTTACATAACTACGCAACACTAATGTTGTAACTAAAACACTAGGCGGAGAGACATAATGATTCGAGGAGAGAGAATAATAATAATAATAATAATAATAATAATAATAATAATAATAATAATAATAATAATAATAATAATAATAATGGAATACATAGTCAAAACAATGTAAAAACTGTTTCATAAACTTAATTTGCTGCACCTCTTATTACGTAGAATGACTAGGATCAAACCGTTAAAGTATTCAGTGTAATAAGAGTAAACAATTCACAGTTATCAGTATTTATTTGAAACGTCTTTATAGATCTAAACCCTCTAGATCATGTTTCAGTCGTGATGAACAACGTCTTTCATGATTCATAAGATCTAACAACTTTCTGTCATTATGATATGACTTTTCTTTCACAGTTCATAAACTACGTTCACTGCTTGACTAGTTTTATTATGGTTTGCAAGGTTCACAAAATCTAGTTGATTATAGTTTTAGATTCTTGCTAATAGTGTTGTTCATGAGACACTTTTCTATTCATCAATTGGCACTGTGTAATTAAATTTACCTGCTGAGAAACTCAAACCTATTATCTTTCACTTAAAACATCAACCATCTGTTCATCAGGCTAATGAGTCTAGATAGTCGCTAATGGATAAGATAGTTATCATCATGATCATTAATACTGATGATGGTAATAATAAAATTAGCCTTTGAAGGTTTGTTCTGTAATAATATTGATAATTACCACTGATATTACCATAATCCATAATTTCAAACTTTAATTCCCATTGCCTCAAAATCAGATCTTTATCTTTTTGTAAATCTTACACATTTTATAGTATCATGTATATGTGGTTCCAAATGATTGGTAGAAAGTTTTCTAGCTTGAAGGAAGCCCTTTTGAAAATAGGCGTTAAACATATATTTCTCGTCTTTCAACTAGCTTTTGACCAGTGAAATAAACTTATACTAATGTGCATGTGTAGTTATTACATTTGTCAATAACGGAATTTCAGGAAATTAAGAATTTATTCATAAGCATAATGCCAACACGTTTCCAAATGAATATTCATTAGTTTTGATAAGTAGAATGATTGCATAGAATTCAAATGTCTATATATTAAACCAACTTTAAATTCAGGTATGAGGCATTTAGCCATGGCTACACAAGATCGAGGACTGATTGAAGTTAGAAATGAAAAGTAACGTATTCCGACTCTGTATTTTAAGAGTCAAGCACTCATCTCAAGACCTGAAGGTCCTTGATCTAATTCGTGGCCGGAATGGGCACCTTTCGCAGAAGAGTGCAACACTAGAACGGAGTAGCTGCCCAGTCCCCCATGGTTTTCAATGGCTACATAACTATGGTCAGTTCATAATGTAAACTATAAGACAGGATATTTGACTGATCAGTTGTCTATGTTAAACGAAAATTTTACACAGACTTGCCCGAAATCTATGGACATAGATTAAACATAATAGTCATCATTTGTTTGAAAATGGCTTCCAAAAGTATTGAATAAACGAAATTTCAAAGTAAATGGTAAATTGGTTAAGATTCGGTAGATTGCTCTTTTCAAACCATCTTAGTCATCAATTAAGTTTACAGTAACAACTAGATTTGCAAATCTATCTATCTACAGATACTTATCCTTCTTATTTGTTATGTGCATTAGTTGCTCAAGGAAGATTTACAAAAACAAAATCAAAATGAACGAGCTTAGTCATTGGTTCTGTTATATCCCGACGAGAATTATGAATGGTAGCTGTTGAGAGGTTTATGGACCAATTTGATACATATAATTTTTTATTTTATAATTATTAAGTAGCTAAACTATGTGTATTCGTGTTTCTTTTATTAAAGGCTTTATTTTGATCCATAGACTGTTATTATGCGATTCACCGTTCTGGGAGGTATGCCCAGTTTATTAATTACAGTCTCATATATTCACAACCACTCTAGGCTAGATCTTGTACAAATTTTATTTTCTATTTTATGGTACAATGTGGTCTGTTTGGTCTGTATATAAACCCAGTATGTTTGAAATACATCATTCATATCGCAGAGGCCGATAAGTACTTTAGACTGCTTGTACAGGTATGGTGTTTTTATGAACTAGTGATTTCTTTGTACTTGTTGACTGCTTGATTTCGAATTCCAAATACAATACTTTCATTCATGCTCATCTAATACTTCTTAGTTAAATTGCATTATTTCTGGGATTCTTAGTCTGTACTATAATTCAAATACTCCTAATTATCACAACGGGTTTTATGTGTCCTTTGGCCCGATCGATAATTCACTGTTCTCCGTTAAGCGGTATCAGTACGATATATGTTATTAGTGCACAAGGCCATAAGTTATAAAAGATTAAATCAAAATTAGATACACGGAAGTGAACTACTAACAGATCTTTTCTCAGTAAATATATGTTTTTGAAAAAAATACAATATCTAAGGTTACTGCTTTGAAGCGGGGTTTACCAAAGAGTTTTTTCTGCGTTTTAAAATCAATATGGGTCTGCAGGGGATGCTAATTTATTACTTATAAGTGAACTTGACTGCAGTTTATTGATTATCGTTGTAATTATTTTGAAATGACCTCAAAAGAAAGATGTACTTTGACTAATTTTCTTTCTTTATTTTACAATTATAAACAAAATAATATGGAAATGTTAATAATTAATTTCTAAAAGAAGAATTTTTAAAATTTACTGGGGACAACTACTTTTCGAAAAAAACAGATATGCTTCTTTGCCAAAATGATTACTGTGGAGTTTTCTTAAGGTTCGGCCCAAAACTAACTTAGTAAATCCAGCAGGAAGCAATATAGCCATATTTCATTCCATCGAGATGATTTCACGCGCCGAAAATTTTAATGATCTCAAATCAATACAAATCCATCCGTCCTACTTTAAATCAAATAAATTCCTGCTAGTGGTTTCCGTAAGATGACGTTACTCGTAAAGTATGTAAGGTAGCAGTTTCCAAGTAACGATAGTGACATTTATATTATTGCCACAAAGTGACAGAAATGACAGAAAATATGAATTAATGATTCGAAAGTGTTCAGAGATTCTAAGGAACATTTTGGCCCAACTGGAGGATTTTAGAGCAGAATAGTTTTTTCGTGAAAGTATCCTTATTGTTCTAGAAAGCAATGTCACCAGATATCTCAGAAACTGAACCATTCAGCTCAGGGAACACAATACTTGTGAGATGAAAATATCCTTACTCTCCAATTAATAATCGCGGTTATCGTGTGGAACAGAACCATGTAATATGGATGTAGGAGTATGGCTAAGACTAACAATCACTCACTATAGACTGATGACATACTGCTTATATTTATGAAATTGAATAAACATGCTATGAAATTATAAATATAATAATATATTGTAGTAATATTTAACCAGTGTACTAGTTACAAATTACTGAAAATTACAGCTCTCAGATTTATCTAATAATCAGAATTGATTTGATTTATGATTCTGTTACAGATTAGTTTTAACTAGAGATCATTTAAAAAAGACAGGGTACCTAACTCGTATTTTATTTTACTATGGAACTCAGGCGTTCATACCACAAGCCTAGTCAGTTAAATGCAGGAATTTCAGATATCATATGGGATCAGTGAACTAACATATGATGATTCAATGTCATTCGTCAATGAATACTTCATCACATGCATAGTCGGACTCTATTAAATCGCGAGTTTGTTTAGAAGTCACTCATTATTGTTTACTTGACTGATGTTTGATAAACAAGTTTGCTTAAATTGGCTTAGTTCGGAGTTCGATTGTATCATATATTAATTTTTCATCACCATCCATTATAATACAAATCATCAATTGAAATCGATCTGTGTGCAGCTTTAACTTGAACTAAACTCCATAAATTGACGAACATTGTTTGCTGATTGTTCAATAAATGTAGAACCAAAATCACCAAAACTGCTCACTAACTGATCTACTGACATTTATTAGATTAAATAATCAACTAAATGACACCAAATAAAAGAATCAACCGGTTCAGGAATTCAAAATTATTGGCATAGAAATGTTCAAACCGTACTATAAGTGTACTTTAATGCAGATATAAAATTATTTGGTAAAATGCTGAGTATTTAAAGCTAATAAAAATTTATATTCAAAACTACGTCAATTAATAAATATTTTTAGGGATAGAATGGTTTATTCTGTGAAGTGACAAAGACAATTCAATGTTGACGTCGAAAAACATATGACATCACGGGCAGTGCGTGGTTTAATTTGATTAGTACAGTAAATAAACATAAAATTGGTCCAATGAACAGCATAACATTTAAATTAAACTTATTGTAACCAAGTAAATGATCACTCAGGATGTAAATATAAATCTCATTATAAACAAGATCCATCAGAATAAGGTCCCTAAACTCAATATTAACAAATTTGTTACATGCCTTGGAGTCTCTAAAGTTTATCGAACACAAACGATTGATGATGTAAAGTTTCCATAAAAACCAAACTAGTAAACTAGTAAGTTATCTATTCAAACGAATCACATATTGATTTCAACTCCCTACTTTATTTGAAGCAATCATTAACTTTGAACAATAATTCTATTACAATGAAAATAAAAACAACAAAAAGATAACTTTCATTTACTCACCCATGTCCCATAGCTCCATTAGCTGGTTTTTGTATGAAGCATGCGTTACACCCTTGTCGATATAATTTTCTTGCATAATTTGAAAAGTATCCAAATTCTTGTGGTAGGACCCATGTATTTGGCATAAAATTATATTCATCTGGCTCAGCCTTCTGCATTCTGGCTAAGGCGAAAAATAATTAAATAGACTTTGGGTTCAAACTTAAGTAGGATTTTGTATGAAAACAAAGTGGGGAATATTCAGTTCATCCACCTAGCAAATCGATATAAACGTAACTAGTTACAGTTGAATCGAGATATAATCACAAGTAAATACCTATATTTAGATTGATTATTAGTCCTGCTGAAGATAGAAAGAAAGCTGGTTTGAGTTTTGAACCTGTCCATAAAATTTTTTAAATACCATCTATCACCTATTTACGACTACCTCAAACACCTGAATAAAAAACATCCAAATACATTTACTAATACTTTCCAACAATTAATACATACGATCCTTATTTAACGTAATACGAGATAAACATAAATACGGTTTATAATCAACAGCAAGACAACGCGTGTAAATGTCCTAAGGTCCTGAAATTCTAGTTACTCCGATTTGTGTTATAAAATGCATGTGTTTAGCAAGATATATGAACCAAGTAATAAACGATTATGACTAGTTTATTACTAACAGATTATTATCAGATATCAATGACACAGGTCAAAAATAACAAATATGGTCGACTGAAACTTAAGTGTTCATTTAGCTTGAAAGTTGGCAAAAAAATTTCAATAAAATGGTTAGTATTTTATAAATATCACTGTGCCATAGCCAAAAAGTGACATTTTTAAGCACTTTGAATACCACAAACTCGATAATTTCAGTCAACCATAAACAAATTAGGATTCGATAAAATTGTCTGCCTGTAGGAGTGAGGCAGTGAGACACTTCGTATAGTTCTTCTGTTGCTATACTGAAATTCGAAAGGAAGTAAATGTTCAAAAAGTTTTTCAGGTCAGATTTATCTACTCAAATAAAACGTTTACCTTTAAGGGCATATCATTTCATTTGATAAACATGTAGTTCTACCCATTTTATCATCCAACATTCTAGAAGGTACTAGTCTTACAGCCATAAACTACTCAGACACACTTTGTCTTTCCTCACAAAACTAAATTCCATTATGATATTGAAGAATCAGCAACACCTAGTGGCTTCAATAGCCTATTGCTAAATGTTGAATTCAAAACTTCAAATCTAACCATACTTTCTTCAGATATCACTGCACTGAAGCTTATTATTTGTCACCAATATGTACCACGATTTTTACTTCATGTCAGTTGTAGAGATTAGTTTAAGTATTGCGTATATTCAGTTACAAAAAACACGTGAATCGATCATACTAATCCTAATGTATATCTTTGAATACTAAAAGCTTATTGATGTGCAGTTGATCACTTTAGCCTAAAGAACTATAAACACAGCTGTATTTGTCATTTTAAGGAGATCTATATCATTATAGAACCTTGTTCTACTAACACTGTGGAAAAATGACTTATAAACTCACAGAATTGAACAGCTTAATTGTTGAAATGAGATAATAAATATAGTTCAAAGCGTGAGCAACTAAAAAGCCGTGAAAGTTTTACAAATAATTGGAGTTATTCATGAATTAATTACGTATATCATTGATTGATATATGCTTTGTTTTCGGTGCAAAATACACTAAGGTCTGAATCTAAAAGACTTTTCTTGAGCAAACAAGCCACCTTGAGGTATACATTTAATCTATTTTCAAAAAAGGATCAAGAAAATTCAAACCTTGAGAAATTCTTGGTAAGGAGATCCTTTCGACATATTTCAATCATACCAGGAAAGTGATTGGCGCGTTGGTACGGCTTCAATTTCATAATCCTCTCCAAAGGCAAAAAGTTGTCGCTCCATATTAAATATCTTAACTGCATGTTACATTTAATATGCACATTACGCATCATTGTTATCATCATTGTCAACTACCGTGAATCCTGCCTCTCTAATACATTGATCCACTGAAACGACATAGAGTTCGGTTTAAATTCAAACCTATTTTATAGCGAGAATCTTTCAAATTGGCTTTGATTTTATTCTTTTTCCTTTCTCTTATAATTTTAAGATCACTGCTGTTGTGCAATAGTTTAGTGTTGCCACCACACTTCCATTCGTTTTTTCTATCGTGAGCTGAGATGCTTGTTGAAGTGATGTGATTTTTGCTCGGTGAATCACTTTTATCTAACATCAGGAAGAGTTTATTAGACCTGAACACAAAACCACGTAATCATAATTAACTTTCGTTTACTGCGCTATTGACCGCTCATTTAAAATTATTCAATATAAGTTGCTGAAAGCATCTGTGCAAAGGTTCGTCCTGTCTTTAAGAGAGCTCATAGATGAAGTTAGTGTCACTTGATCTGGTAATTCGTCTCAGTAACTGATCACTTGATGTAATAGGAATCATCCTGCACTAAAATGAATTTATGATGAACTTCCAAGCAATAGCCTTGAAAATAACTAGCCCCGAATTGTAACGAATCACAAATCATCTTAATATCTAGATCACCATTTCCAAAACTACACGTGCATGTTTCCAAAAAAGACATTGATCTAATACTTGTGATTTCATTTCGCTTTTGTGTATTCGTTGCACCAAATCACACTTGGCCTACTTTAACTCAAATTATTCCAGTTGAGGTTTGAAAGTTTCTTTAAGTCCTTCTCGTGGTAATTCTTTCTGGTAGGCTCTTTGGATAGCCAAATCGTTATTTACCCATAGACGCAGGAATACAGTGTGGTGAGCGTAAAAAGGGGTTCCATAAGATATGTACCCGTTTAAGCCACACCACGTGCAAAAGACTCTTCAAGCTTAACTCGCATTAGCTTGGTATGATTTACTTTTCGGGTAAGAGATTACTGATCCAGTGGGCTATGAGCCTCTTGGCTTTGGCCTGAAAGAAGATTGATGATGTTTTCACTGATAAAACAAGTACTGAGGCAAATAATGTGTCAGTGTAGTATGCGTTAATACGGGACGTGCCAAACATCCAGCTGTAATTCACGGAAAAGTAAAGTCCTCATTGAAACTATTGCAGAGTTAAATACCGCTTGGTATTAGTAGTCACGGTTCGAAAGTAGAGACTGAAGGCCGGTTAAAATCTTCACCGCTCCTGATGTCCAGATATGGCTGTCCTGAGTGACGGAAAGCGGATTACCGTGAGAGAACAAGGAAAAACGCCGCAAACACCACCCGCTTGATTGGCAGCTATCTGGAAGACTCTCATTCCGCGTCATAAAATACAGTCTTGGGGTAAGACTGAGCTCCATTATAGCATGGCTGTTAAAAGCGTATTCTCATCGAATATTATTGTAGGCAATTTGCTAGAATCAAACGACGCTGGTCCAAAAATTAGACAGGCGAGTGATTCGGGAAGTTCGAAGCATTCATTCATAACATCGTATTCTACAGGAGTTCAGGTAAAGAAATGATAATAACAGGCAAGAGAACCCGCGACAATATCAAGCCCCTACCATATGTACTCATTAAGGGAGTTTCTATAAAAAGGCGTGATAGGATGTAGGAAAGCGGATGAAGTCCTTATATATATATATATATATGTATATATATATATATATATATATATATATATATATATATATATATATATATAGCTAATAACATGAATATCCTCTCCTTTGCTTATGGGTCCTACGATAATGGCACTGGCGGAGCCATCAGCTGTGTACTGACTACCAAATGCTTACATTTATACTTGGTGTCATCTATTGTAGCCCAATCTGCTTAGCTGGCGGCTTTATTTCAAAGCACCTTCAGCTATGATGTGAAAATAACAGATGCTTGGTATTAGGTTTTAATGCACCTGATACTAGTTGAACGAAAATGGCCGCCGTATGATCTGAAGACTTTCGATAGCAGTCTCTCGATGACGTTAATGTAGCATTCCTTAGCATAACATGTATCCAAAGCCAAACGTCTTGGTTAAATTCAAGGATATTCCTTCTTAGGCATAGTAACCACTCATACAACTGAGGATATTGCCTATCTAAATGTTCTTCCACCGTTAGCTGATAGCGACCATGCTGTTTTGACATTCGTGTTTAGAGCTCGTGACATAATATATGATCACGTTAACCCACTCCGAAATACATGGACAGCTAACACATCAGCCACTTGGGAGTGCGCTTCAAAGACAGATTGGTCAGTAGATAGGTAGTAGCACTGGATCCTAACTACACGTCCTCTGAAATCAAGCATATGGTTATTGAGAATATTTATATCCAACAATTGACCAGAAGAGATTAACAATAGTGAACGCGAGAATATAATGAATTCAATTCAGCCAGATGACATGGCTCAGCCTTGCAGACGTGGTCATTCGGTATAACTTGTCTCTGTTCACATTAAATATGCCATCTATCTCTAGCCTTAACGTGTTCCTTAGAAAATCCAAAAATCATATTGTTGATTATTACGATACAATGGGTCAGTGTAGACAATTATGTGACTTCTACGTAAGATCCTATAGATTGGGAAGTCACATCATGACATATCTACAACTTTAGAATCAGGTCTATTATTATAACAATAATGACTAAACAGGTCAAGAAACTTCTTACATGCAGGATAAAGATTTGGAATATGTTCATTTCTACTGGTTATAACAGTACATATCCACTAAGAATGCTTGTAAAGCGTTGATAAATAAAACTAAGTAGTCATCAAAAACAATTGGATAAGGATTTGGAAAATAATCCGAAAAATTTATCCTCATATATAAAGAGGCATAATCAGAGACATGATGGAATCTCACCACTTTTGGAACAAGAAAGTCTGTTGATATTTATAAGAGGTGATGTTGAAAAACTGAAGCTTTGTTGAGATATTTTGGTAAGATATTTTCTGTCAGCATTGAGGATCAACTAACCATGAATTATGATCAAAACAGCTTGTCTACTGACCCTGTAGTCATTGAAGAAGAAAATGTCTTAAGATTACTTCAGCATCTCAAACGAGATAAGTTCAGTGGTCCTGAAGACATTCATCGTAGAATTGTGAAAGCCCTGTCGAATGTAACTGTAGAAACTTTGGCCATGCTGAATTATATTTTTGTGGCAATTCAGACTGGCAAGAGACTCGAAAGACGCCATAATCAATCCAGTGTATAAGGAGGGGAGAACAGTCTATCGACCCGTTAACCTAACCAATGTAGTTGTCAAACTAATGGAGAAAATTATTCGGATGGTTATTTTAGACTATTTGGAAGGGCTTACTCTTTTGTCCAGCGAACACCACGGCTGCAGCAGAAGAGATAAATATTCCTGTAGATGTAATTTTTAAATACCTAAATAAAGCGCTTGACAAAGTCCTTCATTTGGGACTCAAGTTAAAACCGGATAGTTTTGAAATTCATTATGAAATTATAAGGCTGGTTTATTAACTTTCTAAATGATACGAGACACTGAGCAAGGGTAAGTGGAACCCCTTCAGAGTGACAATCTGTTGAGAGTGATTGAAATGAAATGAGATATGAGATCATGTGCCTCGGCACAACATTCATCCAAAGTTTTGGTTTATACAGTGTACTAGATCACAACTGAAGTTTCTACTTCATCTATGGGTTATCCTGGTTGTCCTGAAGTTAGGATGTCTCTACACAAGTTTCGACTATGACGCTTTCTATAACTCCATCTATAATTTGAACATAACAAACCAATTTTTAAATGAAGACCTAACCTAATCCCTCTTTTCATTGACGCTGTTAAACAGTAATAAGCTGCGAGCAAAAGTACCGTGATTTCTGAGATCAACAGTTTAAGTAGTCTGAACGAGTTATATCCAGTAAGTTTACCTTGATGTTAATGTACCATTGAGTAGGAAAAACATCATTTTTTTGTTTCTTCCATCGAGATGAACACTTCTTCCTTTGTTTTCCAAGTTTCGAAACGTTAAGAGCGTTATTCTGGACATATTTCTGAGTACCAGTTAGCGAGAAATATATTCTTCGCAGTCACTTGTGAGTCATAAGTTTCAGATGCTTAAGTGATCTTAAAGCTTTTGGATGCACTTGTAGAATTATGGTCTACTATGATATTAGTACTGCTCTAATAATAGACCTAATCCTAAATTTGTAGATTTGTCATGATATAACTGCCTAATCTATAAGATCTTACGTGGAAGTCACACCATCGACTACACCAACTCACTGTATCGTATCAATTACCAATACATGATGTAGAACAAGGTTAGGCTAGAGAAGGAACAATATATTTAATATGAATAGAAGATATAAGGTAACATTCAGCAGAGACCACGCCTGCATGGCCGAGCCATGCCACTCGATCAACTCCAGTCCATTCAATTCATTCTACGCGCCTTCTCCACGGTTAGGTATTTCCCCGAGTTAAATATTGAATATCTATTTTCTGAGTAGTCTCGTGTTCACAGCTTTGTGGATTGTGTGGCTATTGTCCAATGCCACTACACACTCATATAAAAAGTAGACAAGCTGACATAAAGTTTGCGATGTAATGACAAAGCCATGATTTGCGTTTCTTCATTCAGCCAAATGATAATAACTGACCAGTCTCTGGAGAAAGCAAACCCACTGTATTACTAGTGGCTATGGGCACGTTTTTTCTTCATCCCCTCTTACCGCATAGGATGCAGATTTTAAGCTGCCCGCATGTATAATAAGCCTTCTTTCTTACGTTTAATTCTTTTTGGTTTACCTTTTCTGGACAAAATTCATTAATTATCAGATATAAATGATTGAAGGGGATTTTCGCTAATATTGTTTTTTTTAAATAATATTGAGCTTGTGCATTGCGTTTGTTCACTCACGTGAGAATTTGTGATAAAATTCTTGCATACATCATGAGATCCTTTTTGAAAGTTTCGCGTATGAAATTCCCTCCGTATACACAGCATTGCGATTTATTTCTCTTAATTACTTTGGATGTACATTTTGTGGGTTTTCGGATCCCATTTGAGATGGAACTATTCTCTGTTTATTGTACCTTTTGTTTTCCTTACATTTTCAATGAATTTCCATGTTTTCCCTGAACTGCATCTATGTTTTTTCAGTCGACATTCAATTATGGCGGTCGCCATATTTATTTGCTTCCCTTTTTCGACTGTGTCGCTTGCACTAAGTGAAACTGCACAACTTTGGTTGTGAATCGAAGCACTTGTAGTGACTCACGTTTATCACGAGAACACGACTGGTTTAATAAAAACAATTATTATTATAACCAACTGTACCAGTGTTTGTTTTAACGTGCTTTTGTTT